GCCAACCGTCTGCTGGCCATCTTCGCCAATATCCCGATCGGTTTGCCCTACAGCGCTGCGTTCCGGGTACGTCGGACCCCCAAACCACAGAAGAAGCACATAAAACAAGTATCCAAGAAGCTAAAGCTAACCTCTCCCGCTGCACAGCCCTACCATCTCACCCACCACAAGTCCCTCGGCGTCGCCGGCCTAGACACCGACCTTCCCACGGCCGTCGAAGCCTTCCTCCTCGACTCCCTCCTCGGCAAGGCATTCTTCTGCACCTTCCAGATCTTCTTCTACGCCGTCCGCCCCATGTTCATCTACAGCCCTCCATTCACCTCCATCCACGTCCTGAATCTGATCACCCAGCTCACCTTCGACTACGCCCTGACCAAGTTCTGCGGCGGCTCCCTCCAACCCCTCCTCTACCTCCTCCTGAGCTCCTTCCTCGCCGGCTCTCTCCACCCCTGCGCCGGCCACTTCATCGCAGAGCACTACTTCTTCTCCCAAGTTGGCCACGGCACCGAATCCATCCAAGAGCAAAAGAACAACCAGAAGAAGAAGCCCCACCCTCTCGACTCCCTCCCCCCACCGGAAACCTACTCCTACTACGGGCCCCTCAACTTCTTCACCTACAACGTGGGCCTGCATAACGAGCACCACGACTTCCCCGCTATTCCCTGGACAAGACTGCACGAGCTCCACCGCATCGCTAGCGAATTCTATGAACCCCTCCCCTGCCATCACAGCTGGGTGTGGGTGATCTGGACGTTCATCCTGGATAAGAACGTCGGCATGTGGTGTCGGGTTAAGCGTGCGCAGGGCGGTCGTGTCGTCGGTGGTGGGGGCGGACGCGCAGGTGAGAGCATCTCGGCTTCGTCGGCTGGTCCGGAGGGCGAATCGGGAGATGGGTGGAAGGAGAGTGAGATTCAGAATTGATTTGGATCATCATCTGTTTTTTTCTTCTCTCTACTACATGTTGTATGTATCATGTGTACCGTCCACACGGTACCCTTTCTCTGTTTTGTTTTGATGACCTGTGACATACTATACTAGAGATGATATCCCATGGCTTTGTTGTTTCCATCATGAAGAACTAACTGACTGCATGGTGCTGGTACCTGCTGTCGATTATATGCTGGGATTGACTGACTGATTTTATTTACATGACATGATGTCATTTTTCATCTATCTACCTCCTTATTCTTCAAAGTACATGTGGCATAGTTGAGTATGATTTAGTTTGTGTATAGTTACTTTACCAGTATGGGAAAATCAATGATTATTTATTGTGTTTTCACACGCTGAGACAACTTTTCCGACATACAAGTACAAGAAAAAAAAAAAACGAGCAATGCAATAGACATTTCAATGGCATCATCATGATTAGCTTTACTGCCTGACTGACTGAAACTATGGACGCGTGCATTCGTCTAAACGGTTATGTCGCTGGGAACACAAGACTGGGCAAGAAGACTTGAAAAGGAAGACAAGAGAATAATAAAGGAAGTAATGCTGGGATAGAGTCAGGGGTTAAGGCATCCGACCAATTGGAAAGTTGCAAGGGCAGAGAAGATGGGCCCACGCATGGTCATTCCATGGAACGGACAGAACCGCCCCTGCCTCCCCATCTACTGCATCATCTCATCACAGCCGCCGGGAGCAATTTTCGGACACTGGGGTAAAGGTTGTGGTAATAAAAAATGAAAAGGAAAAGCAAAAAAAAAGAAAAGAATAAAGAAAATGTCAAGTGAAAGGCCGTACCGAGGTGCCAGATAAGCCAGCTGTGAACGGAGCGGCAAAATGATATAATAGTAGGTATCACATGGATACCATCTTTGCCGATGTCGACAAAGCTGTTGAAGGAAATTGGCCACTTCAGAAGAGAATACAGTTGGTTGATAGAAGCGGATGGCGGGTAAAAGATGCTAAGAAAAAAGAAAAGAAGAGCAAGCGAGCGCGGAGCACAAAGAAGACGACTCAAAAGACTGAGAAATTAAAAGAAGAAGTATGCGATCAGGAAGCTGAGGAGGCACAAGCCAGCGACCATCTGCACTGGCACGCCTGCCTCGGCAGATTGCGGCTGTTGCTGCACCAATGGCGCCGGCGCCTTTTCGGTTTCACCTCCGATCTTCCGCTGCCTCAGGCCCTGATCTGCCAGCTTCTCCTTCAGCGCCAAAATCTGAGCATTAGCCTCGGACAATTGGGCTTTCAGATCATCGCTTGAACTTGCTGCCCCGCCCATCATGGCCGACTTTGTAGACGTGGCTGGGCTCTCAGTAATCGCTTGTGGGGTCGACACTTCCCGCTTGGGCTTATCGCTGAAATCTGGCGGTGGGATCGGTGACGTGTCGTTAGCGCTTTTAGCAACTGCTGCAGCAGGTGTCTGGAAGTTTGCATTAGGAGAGGTGTAGGCTGGGGGTTCTTCTTCCGGCATAGTCTGAATAGAACAATTAGTTATCCGATGGCTGGAGATCCGAAAAGGGGTCGGTGAGGGGTTACTTACGCCATTCGTTTCGGTGACTTGTTCGGCAGCTGAGGAATCATCTGCAGGCAGCCAGTTCACACGGATCTTGCGTTCTTGAAGCGAGGCCTTAGAAGACTTCTCGAACTATGGGTTATGTTAGATCGCTGCCGGTGGGAATCACCATGAAATCAGACTTACAATCGAAGTAACATTGGCGAACTCCATATCGCGAGTGACGGCAACAGTCTGGACTAGGAACTTGTCCTTGCACTTGGCATCATCGGCAGGTTCCTCCTTCATGGCCTGAAGCAGAACTATCAAGACCGTCAGCCATTGCGCAACGGCACCAATCCAACGAAACACCGAGAAACCAACCTTGAACGTCGACATTCTTTCCAGGATCTATCCGGCCCGAGTTTGGGCGAACACAGTAACTATTCCATGTTAGACCGTTGTTACAACGATACTAGTATGTCGAGTGACGAAGGGGTGTGGCCACGTACTGTTTAGGGGCAGTCGTTTTGACCTGGAGGGAAAGTCGTTGTTAGCCAAGGCAAGCGAGAGATGTCCAGGGAAGTTGATATAACGAACCTTGAAGACCACCGGCTCAGCGTTGTCATTCTTCAAATGCAAGATCTGGCACACCTCACGATCGAAGGGGCCTGGGGATTTAGTCAGCTTCGGATACTCTCAGGAGGGCAGTATATAGATAGATTCAGGGCACCACGTACGCTTGAATCCCAACTCCGGGGGCTCGAGAATAATAGACATGTTGGATAGAGGGTGAAGAGTATGTCACACAGGAAGGAAAGGGATGCGCGGGTGAAGTAGTGTACAGAAGGATGGTCCCAGCAGTGCGGGAGAGGGTGGCCCTTAGAAAGTTAGAATGAGAGTGCGCCGAGGAAAGAGGATCAGTCGCGAGGGAAGACAGCAGCAGGACCCGCCGAAGAAATAGATACCTAACGAAGACTGGATGATAAGGAGGGAACTCGGTCAGAAGTAGTCAACGACAAAGTGGATGCCAACCACGAGGCAGAATGATTAACTGTTCAGGCGCAACTCTCCGTTTCGGGGGGAGCGAGACGGAATCCAGTTGGTCTCGCCGTCGCAACTGCTGGTTGGACCGGGGTGCTGACTCAGCTACGGCCACGGGGGCACTGGTCAGGTGATGTCATCTCGGGGTCTGGCAATGGCCGTTTGAGCCTCGTTTCAAGCCAGCAAAGTACCTGCAGGAAGTGCAGGCAATCTGCATCCTCTCCATTTCTGCTCGCTGTCTTCAGAAACCAGAGATGGGCTACTGCCGAACAACGCTCACTGCGGTCGCTGTCGGCTTCCATTGTCTAGACTCCATCCACTCCATTTGCTCCGTACCTTATTTACTACGGAGTACTCCTGTCGGTTCTGGGTCCTGACTCGGGATCCACTATAATGACATCGTCTAAAAATAATCAATCAAATGGCTCGAGCTAAGTGTCCACTATCTCTAGAGATGGGCGGATGTCTTGCATACCATTAGCCTTCTTTTCTTTTTAGTTTGGAGCGGAGATTTTCCAGTTGTCACTTTGCAATAGGGTGATTCCCTCTTTCCAAACACTTTGCCAGCTGGTCAATCTTGAATCACGACGCTATTCAGTGACTCAACACGAGGCTATCTTGTCAGTTCGTTTACTGTACAGCTCTATCCAGGCACGCCGTCACACCGAACTTTTGAAGATTAGCAGGTTTCATGGGTACCAAACTTTACTGCTGAAGCGGGCTCTAATGCCAACAGTGATCCTCGATCCGGGGCGCCCTATGCGCTTACTTTCCAGGATTTGCGCCAATCGTGCTGAACAGCTGTTGTTCGCCAGACACCATGCAACCAAGAAGCCATAGGTACCCAATCTCCCAGATTGGTTTATGACGGCTGTCAGGCGCCAATATCACACATCTTCCGGAGCCCATTGGTCGATCTTAAATTATACTGTCTGCTCTATTGTTTCTCGGGGGCCTGTTGAGGCATTTTCAGAGTCTCATCATAGATCGGCTCTGTCGGCAATCTAGCAAAGCTGAATGGCAGCTAACAACAGCTTCTTCTTGATCACTGGCAATGAATCGTTTGAGATGACGGGCGAATGAGTGTTTTACAAATTCTGCACGATCTGGAATCAGACGCGACTCCAGTAGCTAGGGTTTTTAGGGGCGTTCTGTGTTATTGTAGCTTAACATAGGCACTGTAACAGTATGACGGTCTTCACATTGATCCTGATTTGTATAATTATTTCGGTGCGAGTAGTGTCCTGAATGCGATTTGCTATCTTATTCCAGCCCGCACGCGCTCGAGTTTAGGACCTTGGACATTGTATCAATCCTGAACTGGATTCACAAATGTCCACAGACAGTGACTGGAAAAGAGAAACATGTAGACCTTCTCCAATTGTAAGAGCTCCAGAGAAAGGCTGGAAAGGTCCAGAACATTGGTGTACCTGATGCCGCTTGGGGTCGGCCTATCTGGGCGGCGGGACATCCGCAGCCGGCCATCTATCACTCAGCTCAAGCTATCGATACGTCACCCGCACGCCCAGCTCTTCCCAACGCTCAAACATTTCCCCACTTTATCGTCGCTTTCTCAAGGCGCCATATTTGACTATAGTTTTCATCAGCACCGGGCGATACCATATTTACAACTCGACCTGTCGGTTACCGAGCAAAGACGAGCCCTTTACCCCGCTTTTGAGACTTTACCACCTTACCCCCTCCGAACTCACAGCCAGTGTCACCATGGCCTCCTCCGATCTGGACCAGCTCATTGAAATGGGCTTTGACAAGGAAAGATCCGAAATTGCAGTGAAGAAGGGCAACGGCAGTATGTTACTCTCAAGCTCAGCTACAGTGTGTCGACCGCTGACAGTCTTCTGTAACGCTTTGCAGTTCAAGGTGCTCTCGAATGGCTGGAAGCAAATCAGGACAAGTCACTGGAGGAAATTAAGGAAGAAGAGAGTGAGGAGGGCCCTGCACTTCAACCGGGAGAGGAAGCTCGCAGCTTGGTGTGCAACGAGTGTGGCAAGAAGTTCCGGAGCCATGCACAGGCCGAGTTTCACGCGTCTAAATCCCAACACGTTGACTTCTCCGAATCAACCGAAGAGCTTGCTCCTTTGACTGAAGACCAAAAGAAGGCAAGGCTTGAGGAGCTTAGACAGAAACTAGCGGAAAAGCGGGCGGGGCAGTCAGAGCAGGACAAGATTGACAAGAAGAGGAATGAGGTACGGATGGTTTCGACTACGATTGGAATTGAATTGCTAATCCTCTCCCAGGAAATCCGCAGAAAGGCCACCAAGGACTCTCAAGACGTTAAAGAAGAACTCCAGCGAAAGCAAGCGCTGAAAGAAGCTGAACAGAAGAAGAAAGAGAAGCTAGCAGACATCGAGGCCAAGAAACGCGTCAAGGCTAGAATTGAAGCTGACAAGGAAGAGCGGCGCCTGCGGGCTGAACGAGAGAGGGCTGAACGTGCCGGTGTAGCACCCCCTGCTCAGCCTGCACCAGCCCCGGCGGCCACCACGTCTGGTCCCGTTGCCTCGAAGCCCGCTTCGGCCTATACGGAAACCCGCTTGAGATTCCAGACATCTAAGGGAAATATTATGAAGACTCTCCCAGTGACTACCACGCTCTTTGAGGTCGCTGCAGCTCTGCAGCGGGAGGACGGAATAGAAGTACACAGCTTTGCGCAGAACTTTCCCCGGAAGGTCTTCGATGCGGAGTATTTCGGCGAGTCCCTGAAGGACCTGGGGCTGATTCCTAGCGCAAGTCTTGTTGTCCAGTGATTGCACCTATATGGTCCTTTCTAGCGGAGCCAATTGAGAGCTTAAATGACGATATCCAACAAATCACCAAATAATTGGTGATGAGGTTCGTAATGATTTTGTTTGTGCCTTAAAAGCAAGGCTCGCATGAAGAATGGTAATAGAATGCCAGCATCGCATTAGCACAGCACGGAAGCTGAGAAGTAACCGAAATAATCAGAAGCCTAAATCTAGCTTAGAATTCACCTTATCGATTCTGGACCTCCTGACTCCTGTCCATCAATTTCGGTAGATTAGGCAGTCATTCCTTAAAGTGATACATACAGGCAGCTATATCATCACGTGATGACGTGATAAGGCGTGTCGGTATCGATCACGCGTCGACACGCCTAGAACTAGCATGTTTGATTGTCATTCACTAAAATATCCCACTGGTGGCTTTCAATGACCGCCGATTTTGATAATTCATTGTCTTTACTATAATAATGCCCGCGTAAGTAAACTCGGTGGCCCCGTTTCTCCTCCTCCCTCATTTACTTCAAAGGTTAACCGCGTCTCCAGTGTTGGCGACCAGCACCGAGGGAATCCAGCGTCCATCATGATGCCCAACTCCACTGGAGCGATCACCGCGAATCCATTCGAAGAGCCACAGCGACGAATTAATGAGTACACTGCCCAGGAGATCGCGACTTTGCAAGCTCGTCTCGACAAGAAGCTCGGCCCCGAATACATCTCTTCCAGGCCTGGGGCTGCGGGACAGCGAGTACACTACCTGTCGGCCGATAAATGCATCAACCTGGCGAACGAAGTTTTCGGGTTTAATGGCTGGTCAAGTTCGATTCAGAATATTCAGATTGACTTCGTTGAGGAGAGCCCGAATACTGGGAAGATCAGCCTCGGTCTTTCTGTCATTGTGAGAGTGACTCTGAAAGACGGCACATATCACGAGGTAGGCATCACTGTGTTGCAGCGAGCTCGTCTAGATCTTGACGCTAAGCCTCTCGAGTGGTCTTAGGATATCGGTTACGGTCACATCGAGAACTGTAAAGGAAAGGCTGCTGCTTTCGAGAAGGCTAAGAAAGAGGGGACAACCGATGCTCTAAAGCGGGCTCTGAGGAACTTTGGCAATGTCTTGGGCAACTGTGTCTACGATAAGGACTATGTCTCGAAGGTCACCAAAGTAAAGACTGTACCGGTATGTGGCCATTCTGCGGGCACTCGATTCACGATGACTGACTCGCTCTAGGCTAAATGGGACGTCGACGAACTTCACCGTCACCCAGACTTTGTTCCCAGGAAAGAGCCCGTAAAACCAAAGCCCAGTCCAGAGGACGATGATCTGCCACCTCGGCCCACAGACGTTGGCAGGAACAGTAGCCTCGACGACTCAATGGCATTCGATGGCGACGGGGAGTTCGGAAGTAAGTACAATGCCATGTCACGAACGCTTACAACCGCTAACCCTCTCCCTAGGTGACCTATTCGATGAAGCCGACTTTGGGGTAGGCGGGGCAGGCAACCCAGACGAGGTCGTACTAGGACCAGAAACACAGAAGCAACCACCGACGCCTCTAAACGGGCCCAACGTACCTCGACAGCCGTTCAATAACAACGCTCGTGCACCAATGAGGCCCAACCCAGCCATGGTAACGCCATCCAAGCCAGAACGGCCCTTCAACCCAGCACCCGGTGCCAGACAAAATCCCGCTCCTCAGCCCTTTAACAGCAGACTCAACCCTTCCGCAGCCCAAAATCAGCCCGCACCTCAACGACAATCCATGCCTCCTCAAGCTCCCCAGCAAAACCTCCCCAACAACCGGATGGTCCCACCAGCACAAGCAGCCGCCGCGGCATCAAACACAAGTGGTGCCGTGCCCATCAAACGTGAATTCGGGGCACCCACCACCAACGAACCCCCCAAACCGCAAGACACACTTCCTGGCACACCCTCCGCATCATTCTTCTCAGCTCGCGCAGTCGACCTCCTCCGCGATAACCCTAACGGGATCCCATCCGGTGCCCCAGTCTTCGACCCCCACGCGGAGAGTCCCTCCATCCGCAAGACCGCAGGCATCGACCACAACAAGAGCCTTCCAGTCTCCAGACCCATGCTCGCCGGAACCGGTGCCGCCTCCCCAGCAACCAACAACGCCCGGGACTTCGTCAACCCATCCCAGGATATGAACCGCAGGATCGGTGCCCCGGGCATGAACAGCCCCATGAACAGACCTATGACCACATCATCTTACCGGCCCTTGACACGGCCCAACATCAATGCCCCGGGTGCAGCTGCGGCTGCCAATCGTGCATCTACACCAGGCCTCGCACCGCAGAACATGAACGGAAAACGACCCCCCTTGTCTGATGTGACGAATGCCTCGAACCCGAGTGGTGGCAGCGGGCCTGCTCCACCGGTAGGCGTTGAGAACGACCCGAAACGAGCTAAGATTACCCCGGGTGGTGCTGCTGCGCCAGCGCCGCCGCAACAGCCGCAGCAGCAGCAGTGATGATATGCTGCTATATTACAGTATCGTTTATGATGGGGTCTAGTCTCGGTATTCTTGCAATGAGTTAATATCTATGCATAGGGACGGCGTTCAGGGATGGGGAATGGAATGGATATTGGCGGGATGGTATGGATGTTGTATCTTTCGACATAAGATGGTTGAGCTAGCTTGTATCAAAGTTCTTGATCATTTTCTTCTACTTTTATAGTGACGCGAAGATAATCTACCTAGATTAGCCGTATTCGTTCCCTACCTTAATTGAACCGGAGTACATGAGCCACAAGACACTTACGTAGCTACATCAAGTGTTGACAATAGTACTATAAAGCAACCCACTCCTGATTTATTCTGGCAAAGTCAAATGATAGCAGCAACCACTCCCTTCTACCCCAGTCCCTAGTTCCCATTTTACCCCACCAACCTAGCAATCAATCAAAGAATACCTACAAATTCCCTCTCCCCTCCTGCTCCCTCTCAAACGCCTCAAACAAACTCCTAAAATTCCCCGCCCCAAAGCCATCAAACCCCTCCCTCTGGATAATCTCCAAAAACACCGTCGGGCGATCAACCACATGCTTCGTGAAAATCTGCAGCAAATACCCACCCTCATCGAAATCAATCAATATATTGTATTTCTGAAGCAGGTTGATGTCTTCGGCTAGGGTTATATTCGCGGATGCGAGGCGCGTGCGCATGTTGGCGTAGTAGGTGTCTGGGACGGAGAGGAAGGATACGCCGCGGGTGGTGAGGTTCTTTACGGCTTGGAGGATGTTCGGGGTGAGAAGGGCGATGTGTTGGCATCCGGGGCCGTTGTAGTATTCTACGAATCTGGCGAATGTTAATCAATAGTCCGGGGAGGGGGGTTGTTGTTAGGAAGAATGAAAGGGAAAGTGGGAGGGGGAGGGTATGACGTACTCTTCTATTTGGGACTTTTTGAGACCGGTGGCGGGCTCGTTCATGGGCATTTTGATGATTTCGTTGGGCGAGGCCATTACGATGGAGCGCATTGCGGAGTATTGGGAGCACATTTCTTTGTCGTCGACGGTCCAGTAGCGGTGGAAGTTTAGGGCATTCTCGTAACTGGTGGTTGTGTTAGTGTATAGTATGAAAGGTGTTATGGGGATGGGAGGTGATGCTTACTACTTCACGATGCTGTCTAGGCCATTCCAGCCTTGATTGCCCACGCAATGGTCGATTTCGATCACGTCAATCTCGGGAAGTAGATCGTTCAGTCGATCCTGGCCGGATACGGCTTGGTATCCGGGGAGGAAGATCCCTTGATACGCGGATCTGTTGATCAGCGTATGTGCTGTGTCGCCGTAGGTCTGGATCGTAGCTGAACGGACCTCGCCGCTGTCATCTTTAAGGAGTTGTGGTTCCTGGATGGAGATGGCACCGTGCTGGAGGGCGTGTTCCCAAACGCCAATGACATCGTCGACGGCGAACGCGATGTCTTTTATGCCATCGCCGTGCTTGGTGAGGTGTGCATGGATCTCATCCAACTGCTGGCGGTCTGCGCCTGAGCCCCGCTTGTCCCAGGTGTTGTTGGGAGAGGTGATGGGAGCTGTGAGAACGAATCGGGCGTTTCCGTTGGTGACAACATACGAACAGCTTAGGTGGGAGCCTGTTTCTGGTCCGCGGTAGGCAACGATGCGGAAGCCAAATTGGGCGACGAAGTAGGTCGCCGCTTGACGGGCATTCCCGACATACCATCTAATGTGGTCGAAGCCCGTGTAGTTTGGATTGATATTGCGAAGTACGGCATTCTTGCCTGCCTGTGGTTGACTCTCGTTGGACGGCATGATGAGGTCTTGAGGATACTGATGCTTTGGTTGCACGACTTGAGAGGTTTAGTTTGAGATGCTATGATGGCGTCACATATTCAGGTATCTGCCACGTTCTGTTAGTGCTGGGTTACGTGTACATGCTCTCCGCCTGTAGGAATGCACACCTAGGGGTGCATGCATCGCCGCAGTCAAGTTTATCAAGGGTGACGCAAGATCAGCCTTCTCTGTATGCGCGATGAAGTACTGTTGACTTGGAGTACGACTGTAGCACTGACTCGTCCAGTTCTTGGCCGCTTCACTGAGATTTTCAACATATGATACTGTCGTGGGTATATTCGCTTTTTGTACCTTGCGCCAGTAGAATCTCTTTATCATTGGGAGGCAAATCAAGAGAAGTGTGACATGCAATGCTCGTCACGGCCATCCGGCTAGTACTTGATTGTGACGATATAATGAGTGTGCTGTTGATCATCAAAATTAGGTTTGGATCCAATCACGGAGAAACAAGTTGCCAGCAGCCTTTAAACTGGAGGCTCAAATCACGTCCTTCCTCATGTATACTGCCAAACCTAAAACCTGCGTCACGTAAGCGTGGCCGAGCAAACACCAGCCGAGGAAGAACTTCAGCCATCGCAGCTCAACAGGGAAGCATCCAGACGATATGACGCATAATCATGAGCAACACATGGCGCAGAACATCATCATGTCCTTCTGTAAGTAGACAACCCGGGACACGGCCCATGGAGCATCGTGCCCCAGTCATGAACTAGTCCTGCACATGCAAGTTCCCAGACTCGACCCCTGAAAGGCACGATGACTGCCGAACCTAACATGACCAGTCACTTCATAGTGCAAATGCGTGCTGCCACTGCAGGCACGTACTATTGTTGCGCTGTCCTACCTTGCACTAGCCAGGCGCAAAGCATTGCATGAATAAATAAACCCACTTACTCCAATAGTATCAATAACCAAAGGTACTATCACATTTGCTATGCAATAAACTGAGTCATTCATATATACCATGGAATGTGATATGTGACAGGAACGGAAAAGAAGATCTACAATGCCAACCGAACGGCAGACTTGAACTATAGCCGCCCACATGTCAGTAAAAAGGTACGCATGGTGAATGGGCCTGCCAAAAGGGGGAGGGAAGCAAAAGCAGGGAATAAACACAAACCGGAATAATCTGCGCCTTGTCCATGTCCCACACTCCACTCTTCGTGTAGATATCATTCCTGAGGAGCGCCTCGGCTTCCTCCTTGGTCTCCGCCAATACCATCATCATGCTTCCTTGGAAGGACAGGGATTCGCCTTCTGCGGGGTGCTTGTCGAGCATTGCGCCTTATTAGGGGAAGAAGTCAGCAACGGAGAAGCAGGAGAAAATAGGGAGTGTGGCAACTATGATGTACCTCCCGCAACCACAGAGCCGGCTTCGACGAGGGGCTTGACTCCTTCCAGGTGTTGACTGTTCGGTGAAGCCGGTGTTGTCAGTGTTTGATGACTAGACTAGAATGAACAGGTGAGGGGTAGTTCTTACGGGCGAACTTCCAGTCGCTTGGCCATCATTCCCGGCTTGTCCGGGAGGATGCAGAGAAATTCGTTCTTGGCAGGCATGGTGTTTATGTTTTTGTCTTCAATGAAGCCCAAGCAGAAAAGGTGTAGAGTGTGGTGAGAGGGGAAAACTGAGGGGAAAGTCCGGCAAGACGAGAGATCCGATGGCGGGAAGTGGAAGCGGGGAAAAGGTGGGGAGGCAGGAGCAGCACTTATCCGGTGGATCTTCGACTATTCCTACTATTAAAACCTATGACTACTATTAAGTTCCTACTACTGCTACTAGCTTATCGGTTTTACAATCATAACAAGCCCACCAGATTGTAGCCTATATATGTATGTACATGGACGCCAAGCACCATGGCCCTATTCCTCTGCCTCTTTTCATCGACCTCCCTGAGCTACTGTATAGCTCATCCAGAAACGGTCAACTGCTCTAACTGCAGATAATGCGTCAAGCAGACCCCGGGAGATGAGCAATAGCTTGAGAGCACCATGCCGGTGAAAGGAGCCCATGGCTTGGGCCTGGAAGAACAACGTAGGCTCCAACCAGAGCCCGCTCACTCGCTCTCTATGAGCTTCCAATACCGCTGAACACTGTCCCCGTAGCGCCAACAAAATCAGACATAACCCTAGCACGCAATACAAAGAAAGACTTAATTACCGGCGTCGTGAGATATCCGTCCCCGCGTCAGAAGAAATGCAATCACGAAAGAGAAAAAGGAAAGAAAAATCGAAGAAAAAGTATTCAATAAAAGCGTTAAGAGGAAAGCCTCCATGCAAAGAACCGCTGCAAGGGCTCGGATGTACACGGGAACGGGGTATTCAGGCGTCAAAGGATGAGATGTGGCAATAGGTGTACCACTCAAACTGCGAAAAAATGAGAATCAACTCAGGAATGCAGCTAGTATGCCTTGCGGCCTCCGAGGTTGCCAGGCTTCTCATCCGTGTCAATGTGCCAGACGACGTAGTTCGGAAGACCGTACACCTGGTATCCAGCACGCTTGGCCATGCGGGCGAATCCCTCAGTTTCAGCCTGGTTCTCAAAAGCGTAGGCCGGGAAGTTGATGCCAGTCCGGTGAACATCGGCCTTCACGAGGATGTTGACACCGCCAATACCGTCAAGCTCAACTTCCTCATCCTTGTTCTTTCTCCAGTCACCCATGCCAACCAGGTAAGTGCGACCAGTGTCGTACTCCTTGTAGCCTTCAGCCAGAACAGTATCCGGGTCGAGAGTCTGCCGAAGCCGGCGTCCCTTGTCCGATTCGATCCACGAGTTATAGTCAACTGCAAGAGTTAGCAAAGCGAGGATTGTGAAGGGAGTTTTGTGTACATACATCGACCTTCGACATCAACACCATCACGGTAGCGATGGAACCAGATGTCTGCGACAGGGTTAGCACCTTGAAAACGTGGTTTTCATAGAGGCGTTGCAACGTACTTGGAACCAGAATATCCCTGTCGTGAGCGATGAAATCTTCAATGATGCTATCAGGACTGTCAAAGATATCAACATCTCTCCAGTAGACCCAAGAGTGATCAGGTTTGAGAGCCGAGTAGAGCAGGTAGTTGCGGGCGCGACCGATAGCCTTGCGGCGCGGGCCTTGAGCAGCAAAAGAGTGCCTGTCCTCGACGTTCATCTCGATATCAGCCCCAAAGTCCTTCTGCACAATTGTCGCGCTACGGAAAGCAATCTTCTCATCCACCTGGTCCTGGATCCGGGACAGCTCGGCGGTAAGAACAGCCATGGTGTCGTCACTGCAATCACCAACGAGGAAAGCCAGGTCAATGAGGTTGTGAGGGTACGTCAGCTTGTAGAGGAGATCGAAGTAGTTGACCAGATGTTCGGATGCGTCTCTCAGAGGGGTGAGGATGAGTACCCGCTCAGAATTCGAGATGGCCTGGGAGGTAGACTTGATGGGGTTGAGGTCGACGGTCTTGATGCTCGAGGAGTTCACTTCGTAGGCAGCGTGATGGTTGAAGAGGACAGGGGTCTGTGTGTGCGCGGTCCACTCGACCATTTCGTTGATGCTCATCTCCATCGGCGATTTTGAAGGGCCATAGCAGTAGAAGCTACATGCAGCCGTTAGCGTTTCCTGGTCGCGTGCCTGCAAGTCGTTGCCAGGGTCCGGGTGTCGCGGGCAAGCCCTGTCAACGTCGAGTCAGGTACTCACCTCTGCATCTCCGACGCTGACTTGCTGATGCCACGCCATAGTAGGACTACAAGACCAGTAATGGCCAATGAGACCAGAAAACGGGTCCGTGTGACCAGGAACAGAACAGCCCGCCATGGAGGCAGCCGTGCTTTGGCAGACTTCCACGTTACACCACCCTTGGGGAGCAACATCTTCGCGACGGGGGAGAAAAAGGGGAAATAAGATTATGAGTTGGCCAGGAAAGCGAGCAGAATGGTCTCGCTTTTCGTATTCAGAAACCGTCGACGCCTACAGCTAGGCGACGATTTCTGGGGATGGGGATGTCTATCGCTGGAACACCAGAGTCCAGGGAGATCGATCAATCTGTCGTGGAGCGGACAACACGATGCAGAACGGGCGGCGGAAGAGACGGACCGTCCGGGGAAGGGAAAAGGAGCGAGTTTCGACGCGATGCAGATAATGGCAGGGACGATCACACAAAATCGAGACTGAAATCTGACGGATCCAAGACGTCGACAGGGGAGGTCAGAGTTGATGATGCGATATGGAGAAGGGGGGGGGGAAGCCAGCGATCGCCCGGGGCAGGAAAAAGGGTAGGGAAAAGGCTGGCTGCGGGAGCGTGGTGCGGCACCGGAGGGCCCCAGCAAAGAAGGAGTAGGTTTCAAACGATTGTGAAGAAGCAGACGATGAACGATCAGAACACAAGGTGATCCGACCAGTTCTCAGTCAAGCGACACAGAGAAGTCCAGGGGAGGATAAGATGAATGGAATGGTCGTCGACAGAAGAGAAGTTCCAGGTTGACAGGGAAGATTCGACCCGCCGAAGTTCCAGCCAGACTCAAAGTCCAGTTGGCCGCTTCGGGATTGGCCCGCCGCTTTTAATTTTTCTTTTTTATTTATAGTCGCGGGTGACTAAGGAGACCCTTAATCAGCTGCATAACCCTCATCCACGGCATAACTCAACGACCGATTTGCACTATGTATCACTACTTCTACTACTACCACCACTAACAAATCTACTCGACTCTTCAAAAGGTCTACTACCTCATGCTTGAATGAATTACCCCACTACTCTGTACCCCATTCGAGTTTTACTTCTTTCAATCTTCATGGATAAGAATATTTTCATGGTCATCTCGCTCTATGCTGATAGTGACAAAAAATCACCCCATGGGAACCGAACCCTGAACAATAAGCAGAAGACATCACAAAAGAAATAGATACCGAAATCAGTCGTGTATGTATAGTAAAGCAGAAAACGAAAAATTCAATCCAATAAAACTGTCGCCACAATGCTCCAGATCCTGGCCAGTGAACAAGATAATTATAGCCTTCCCCAATATGAACACGGAAGAAAGATTGTACAGACACCAAATAAAACCATCCGTCGTAAATGCCTAACAAACGCTCTTTGCCTTTTCCCTTCTTTTCTTCCTCCCAAAATGATGTACACATTGCGCCTTTTCCGTGTTCGATAGGAGAAATGCGCAGGAAAGCTTGAGTCCAGTGTGGACTCTATATCAGACGGTAAACAGATCACGGTGCAGGAGACATCACTTGTCCTAAGTATATGTCGATGACGAACGCTCTCGCTATGCCAGAAATCACAGTTTAAATGAGATGAAAAACAAATTTGGGCTGCGCAACAGCCGCTCTGGGAGTGAACTCAAGGAGAATCATGACAAGGTTCCCTCAGTGATCGTGAAGGAGGCAGGTGCACCAATTCATGGCGACGGGATGATGGATTGACGCCGTGATACAGGCACTGAGTGAGGTCCGTGTGCGAACACAGGCGAAGAGGACCGTGTGATAGAAGGAGTGTGGGTAAGGTATGTATGTCCGAAAGTGAAAGCTGGCGCTGTGGGATGGGACTCAAGCCGAGAGGATTCAGGGCTGCTGGCGGCAATCTCGTCGCAAAATACCCGCAACCCGGGGAGCATGTTACGTGGCTTGGCCTCGGCGTGATGGATGATCGGCTGAGAAGTCAGGGGCTCGCTCTTGGGCGATCGGAACATGTGCTCGTATGACTTCAGCTGAAGTTCGAGCGCTTGGTTGCGCTCCTCTAACATCTGGTTCTCTTGCTTCAGACTTTTGATCTGCTGCTGGGCGGTTTGGTTCTGCTGCTGAAGACTGGATACCAACTGCTGCAACTGCATGCAGCGGATCTGGGGCTCCAGTTTCTCGGACAGTTGACGAGGCATTTCATTCTCCTGGCGGATCAAGTGGATGATGATCAGGAGCATGAAGTCGATGAGAAAGATGGCAGCCTGAACGATATGCTCCTTAGACTCTGGTAGGCTCTTGGATGGGTTCCAGCCGGCGCGCTCTAAGAAGAAATCATGGATGCGGCTGTCCAGCTCACGATGCAGCTGGCTGAGGTTCTTCCGTCGGTTTCCCTCTGCAATTCTGTGCTTTTCTCTCTGGTCGTCTGAATCCGCAGAGACCATGCTTTCCTTGCGCTTTCGCCCGCAGAGCTGCTGCAACGGGGGCTTGCGGTTAATGTGCTTGGGGGCGATGAGGTTCAGGAGTTCTGCAGGGGAAAGCTCTTGCGGCCAGTCAAAGGTCTTTTGAGACTGAACGGACTCTGGCCAGGAACTGTCGGCGGAGGTTGCTGGTGATGGGGGAGTCACAATGTGTTCCGCTTCAGGCCACGGCGACCTAACGGGAAAAGCGTCCTGGGAGCTTGGAGAGCTGGTGGCACCGATGTTGGTTGTGAACGGGTCAAAGGGGCCCCGGGGCAAGGGCTCCACGCGGGGGAGCGGGGGCAAGCGGCGGTCCTCGCTCATATCTGCCGTGCTGGATGCACTGGAGAGGGAACGCACACTGTGGGGGAGCATGTCACGTCAGACGCTGCATCTGTCGGCAAGGCTCAAAGATAACTTACGGGAGAGAACAACGGCGAGAAATGTCGTCAGCCATGGTGTTCATGTCTTCAAACATCATGGTGCTGATGGTTCTTGCTGCAGGTAAGATGAAAGACGGGGCGCTGCAGCTAGAGAGCTGTATGTCTGAGGTTTGTCTGTATGCACTGCAGGCAAGAGGGGAAATGTCTCTGATATGTATGTCTGCACCGGCGCGGGATGATTAGGCGTGAAGTAAACAAACCACACAGCCAAGAAGTATAGACAATAAGCTTCAAGGGGGAGGAGCAATAATAAGGACCACAAGGGATGATGATAGTAAATGAGAGTTCAGTGGCAACAATGACGCTGATACAATCAAGGGGGGAGGAAGAGGATGAGGGGGGTTTCTAAGGATAGAAGTAAGACAAGAGGAAACAATCAAGTTAATCCACGAGGAGCAGCTGAGATTTGATGATGAAGAACACAATGCTTCTCACAGAGCAAGACGGGAGGATCCCGCTGCATGTTTTATATGTTGGAAGCCGCAGGCGAGAACGAGGAGAGGGGAAGGAGGCAATGGATGAGGAAGTCGACGAAGGAGGGAGTGGGGAAAGACCAGAAAGAGCAGCAAAAGGACGCCATTGTGGTGGCGCGCTCAGACGTGCAGTTTGAGCTGGCAATGAACTGCATCGGAAGAGGAATGCGAAGGGTTGAGAGGATGCGAATAGTACGAAAACAGTAGAGTGTGTGAAAGAGGGAGAGAGAGAGAGAGAGCATTCGGGATGTATCACCAAGTGCTTTCTTGGGATCCTCCCCAGAAGCTAAACGGATTAGCTCGATCTGCGACTGCCTCAACAAGGAAATGGAGCATCGACGATGACATACAGATAGATGGTTTGATGGTGGTGGAGTCGTTGGATTCTCCATTTCTTTTTCTTTTTTCTTTTTTTATTTTTTAATTGTTTTTATTTTTATTTTTATTTTTATATTTTTTATTTTTTTATTTTACTTTATCTGTATTATTATGATTATTATTATTTCTGGTCTTCCTTGGGATACTATTCCTTGTGTCTACTACTACTTCCCTGCTTCCCCTACAGATTATCTGCAGCCTCCATCTCCATCTGGACCTTCTCCTTCTGCGCCGCTTCCTCTTCTGGTCATCGCCTCCACTGCTTCATCATCCTTCTTCCCTCCTCCCCCCCTCATCTTCCTTATCCTGCTGCTTCCCTTGCTCCCTCACCCCCATGAGGACACGCGGGGATGCATGAACAAGCTTCCGGCAGAGTTCGACAGCCCATCAACTAGTACTTTTCATTTTCACTTTCCATAGTACCCCCTCTAACAGAATGGGACATTGCTCTATCATAAATGGGCACAGACGCGAGGCAAAGCACCGGATCGACGAATCAACGTGCCATGATCCCGATGAACAAGAAGGAAAGTCGGATTGGGGATCGCAGACCCTTGATTTGTCACCGCTGCAGCGGTTTTCGATCTACACGGGGCGAAGAAAGGTATCGACTCCCCTTGCATCGCGGTCATCAATAGTCTGTTCGGGCCAATGGCCATGGTCCGTCCACCCAGTGTCCACTTCGGATCCTGGACCCAGGCGGCGATGCATCCGCGAAACCCATAGCGTCGAGGCATAAAACGTTCCCGTCGTTTGGACAAGCGCGGGCTGGTGGCTGTAACAGGTGTGGGAACTAGCTCTGCGGCGCTTATCCGTCTGGCCAGTTCGAACACAGGCCCAATTCCGAACCGGACAAGGTGCTGAAGCCATGGAGAAGCAAATTCAAACGTCAAATTATAGGGAACAGATCGGATCAGCCATCCGGACCATCCAGTTGGAGGGTATCAAAAGTCGTCTCGATCGCCTCGATCTTCCCAGACTCAGTGCCACTATAGACTACACACCCCCCTCCGTATATACTACTATGTATAGCACATGGTCTGCACGGGATCGAGGGCAAAAGTGAGGCCCACGGGAGCAGTCCCGGCCCGATCTTGTGTCTGTCTCGTCTTGACCTGCGGCCCATATGAGGGCATTTGGCCAGGAAAAGCAAAAGTACCAATAAAGGGTCATGAACGCCCAGAGTAAGAATGTACTATACATAATGATCCGATGCAGAGGCAGATGCAGGTTCCCCGAAAGCAGATCATAGCTTCGGCAGGAGGTGGAATAGGACCTAATAGCACGAAGCAAGGACTTCTAGGAAGGAAGCCAAAAGTACCTGGTACCTGAAAGAGCTGTGTGAGGAGACAATGGATCGACCTTTGTCAGATAGGAGGCAATGAGCGGCCGCAATCTGTCACGAGTCTCCACGGTTCTAACCTGTCTTCGCTGGTTATGAGTGAGGCGATTCTCCTTGATGCATACGACAGAGCCATTGTCTCCATGAGAACCTCGTTTAGCCGGGCTATGGGATCATAGAGTGGCCTTGTCTATAATAGCACAGGTTATTACCGAACGGGCCCGAACGAAGGGGTCAAAACTCGGACAGAGTTGGGATCATCCACAGCCGACGAAGGGCCCATACGCCTGGGTCACTGGGAGATCCCAGCGACCAGGATGTGACGGCTGTCAGACCCAATTCTGGACTGCTTCTTTTCTTGGTGCAGGCTTGGTGTAGTCCGTCGCAATAGGCTGGCGTAGACCTGGGCAGGGGATTTGGAATGCCGTCGGACGTCTCCAACAGACAGACGCTATGAGGAGTTGTTTCGGAAAACTCCACCAGACTATCGCGTGAAGAAGCGTGAGGGAACCCCATTTCCAGGTTTACATGGAGGAGTGCCGCTCGTTGGAACCGTGGTACGGTGGACGGGAATGCAATCAGTGAATGGAAGATCCCCCGGGAAAGGACACGACTCTCTCTTCACTGGGAGAGAGCAGACCCCGAGGGTGTCAGTGGAGAAAGGAGGGCCGGTGATACAGAGTAATGGGGTACCAAAGCCCAAGAGCCATATGAGGAGAACACGACCAAACAGGACAAACCTTATCCCGGGTGCGCTGATAGATGGCAATCAAGCCGGCGGCCGGATCAGATCTGTCATATTCAGGTGCCCCCGGATCTGAGGATGCGGCATGATGAAGGAACAATGGATCTTCTAGCTCCAGCCATGCCCAGGCCGCCCCACGTTGAGAGAGTTGAAGGAGGAATGTGGACGATCATTATCTTGTGCGCCAAACGATAACTAACTACCAGCCTCCCATATGGTAATGGCTTGGGGGAAGTTCCGAGGGCGGCGTGGACGCCATGAGAGTTGAATGATCAATTAACTAACATGGTTAGGGCGGACTCCGTTATTCCCGGAGAGGCAAGTCCTTTGCCCTAGTAGCCGAGGATGACGATGGCGCCTTTGAACGTTATCGCTACACTTAGCCGCCCTTTCTTCAGCAGACGGCGCCGCGCGGCGATAGCGAGGATTGCCGCCGATGGTGTTGTTAGGCCATATCAACGAGTATGTCCGATCGGTTTTGCCCCCTCAAACTACCAATAGTACCATAGTGGAGGCTCCAAAGTACCAAGCTCCATAGTGGTGAGTTGGCAGTACATACATCCACCAGAACAAAGTCATGAAACACTGGACACCAGTTGAAAGAGTAGCCACCCCTGCTCGATCAGAAATCGCTCGCACGCAGTGGCCGCCAGGCACGAACTCACTCGTAAACTCTCGCTGAGTCTATGTCCATAGATGGCATATGTGCTTGCGCTCCTACATGCTCCCCCGGCTCACGGGCCCATGGACTAAAACCTTAGAAAATTGCCCGAAGGACACTCACTTGACAAGTTTCGCTTATTTTCCGAATTATCGGGGCCTGGAAGCATCGATAAGTGCCAATCTATTGGTTTCAACCAGGGAATCCCCAGCAGCGACGGAAGGGCAACAATCCATCAATAGAGAGGGGGAGTGAGAGAGAGAGGAGCGGCTGAAGTGAACCTTAATGTGTCCATGAGAGATCCATAGCACGATTTACTGAGTACGGGGAACCGGTTCATTGCGATTTGGGTTCGACCATAGTACCGAGTCATCTTGGGTTTGATGACTCGAGGACCATCATCATCGGTGTCTTTTTCGAATAGGGTGCAAGGCCGCCCTGACTGGCAGGAAATGGGAAAGCCGAGGAGTGATTTAAGTTTGGTCTAGAATTGGAATTGGTTACACAGCGTCGACTGGCGGGTCCAACAGTCGAGAGGCAGCAAAACTGACACATTGACAGTTGACCGAATCCTTTGCTGTTGGGGATTCCCCTTCCCCTCAAGTCTCCCAAAGGTCATGATGGATAGGGAAAAAAAAAAAGAATTCATCCGCATCACAAAGAATAAGTAATTTCAGTAATATTCAAAGCACTTCCGATCGCATGCCGCTTACTTCAGTTGGACTCGGAACGTTTGCAAAGAGGCAAAAAGACCCAGCAAGAGCCTGGCGCCTTTGCCAATCATTGTCCCCAGGTGATGCATCACAGAAGCAACGACCCTCCCCGCCTAGACCCCTTCGCGCCCCTCAATGCGTTGTCCAAACCCGGTAGCCAGTCGTCCGGCTCGCAAGCTACCCAGGCTAGTCTACCTGTCGACTTGCTTACAGCAACTTCCCTGTCACTACCGGCTTCCCCCAACGCACTTACAGTGCAACATTATTAGGCCCCGTTCAACCCCAGTTGGATTACAGTAGTACGTACGCATCTCATTGAACATACATACATAGTCAACCCATGAGAGGGCTCCGGAGGATACGCTTATGAACATACGTACATTAGCGTGGCCCATCATGGCACGGATCTCAGCAGAGACCGGGATGGCCCTGCGTGCGGCGATGCAAGATCACCTCATGTATCAGATTCTTGTCTCCGTGATGTGATCCTTTGCCACTCGGTTCTGGCCGGGCCAGACTGGCTCATGTACTGGCACGAAGTCCTATCTCTCTGCCTTCCGCATTTGCATAGTGCCCTTATGCAGAATAATATTGAAGGCCGTCCCAGAGTCGACCACCGCCGCCAGTAAGGCTCAAGCAACTCGTGCCATTGTTTCAGATGCTCCAAGGGGGCGTCCTTCTCCCGGCATTCCATTATTCCATACGGAGTGCTGCGTCCCCCTCGTCCTGCGTTGTAAGGCCCCCATCATTATCTATTTCTGCATGAGTCTGGTTCCAGATATAGCCACCACCTTGCCTCAACCACTGCCTTACGGCCCAAGGGACTCGTACACCTGATCAGCCCAGCTACTAGCAATGATGCTCTCATCATTGCCACTAGACCGGGTTCCAGACCCTTCAGCCGTAGCACCGACACACGGAGGATTGCATACTGACGGAGGAGCAAAGGCGAGGATCTCCGAAGGCAATTCCTCAGGCTATGCTATTCTTGTCCGCCCTAGCCCTAAGACGGCCGACCTGAGGCATCCACACATGCAAGGCATCCCCCTATCCGGTTATCTATCATATGGATCCTCATCCTCCATCATCCTCTTTGCCTAGCACAACACTAGGTAGGTCCTTTTTCTTTTTTCTGTTTTCTTTCATTCTTTCCTGGTCTCCCTTCAGTTTAGGAAGACTAGACACTTACTCTATTGATCCTCGAGAGCCACCTAAGACCTCGATCCCCTCTCTTCGGTCCCCCCTCCCCAAAGCCGCACAGACATACCTCTTTCCTTTCGGAGATAAACCAACATGAAACAAAGGTACACTACGTACGACGGCATCTCCATAATCGTATTTAGAGTTCATTCCCCTCTTCCATTCATACTACCTCTACTTACAGCCTCCTTGTCGTCGCCTTGACCTTCCCCCGCTCCCAACCCAAAGGGTGAACACGCGCAGTTCGCGAACCATCACCGGACCTTCCGTAGGCACACAGACATTATGTGGCCCTTGCGAACATTATCTCCCCAACAAAAAGTGTAGAAAAAAAAAAGTCCTGGTAACATAGCAGCATTGATTCAATATCTAAAATGTCCTACGGACTTCCACTCGAATCGCAGACCCATCCATCGTGGGTCTATTTACCCACCAGTTGGGCTAGGGTAAATCATCCGGCCAGCCAGGTGACCGGGATCCCAGATCCGGGCCCCAGTGTTGTTTATGGAGCAGTAGATGTATAAAAAGATAGGCAGGTAGTCAGAAGGCAATTGCAGTTAATAAAGCGTCCTAGTTAATTAGGTGAGGTTTATCTGTTGAAGCATGAAGTCAAAGTAAGGAAATAAAGTGAAACCTGCCGCGTATATTTATACCTTGCTTAAACAATAGCCATACTACACACTGTCAACAGAAAATAGTAGCAAGTAGCAAGAAAGATAGTTATAACCTACACATTCAGTGACTATCCCTCAGTAGTATATTGGGCCATGAATCTTGAATCCCATCATACTCAAAGTTTTCAAAAGTCCTCCGTACTTTTGACAGACTTTCACTTTTCTCTCCACTAACTATCCATAACAGTGAATCTAATTTAACTTGACTATCAAACACTATCAACCTAATAAACTGACTCTAACCAACCAAATAGCTATAACTTACCTACCAATTAACCAACTACTAAATATAAACAAAACACAAAATCGACCATCATTCCACCCCTTCGATGCTCCCCCTCACCGGAACTGAATTGACACATCAATCTCTCTTCTACCTACCTACTTATCCACTCAACCACAACACAATAACCTACGTACTTATTTAACTGCAGTAGTACATGCTTAAGCTCGGTACATAATCACTCAGAGAGAGAGAGAGAGAGGAGAGGGGTGGTGCAAAGGAAAGTAAACAGAACACCCACATACGTTTGAAGTAGCCTACTTACCAACCAACCAACTCCATCTACAGAGTACTACATTGAGAGATATAGGCAAATGCATGCATGTCTACTAATGCAACACACAACAACAACAACAACAATAACAATAACCCCCGGTCATTCCGGGACTAGACTCCAATCCACATCTGCGGCCCGCAACAGATGGAGAGACGGACAGCAGCAGCAGCAGCAGCAGTGGAGTAGTACTAATAAGAGAGATTAAGATCGATCCTACCTACCATATATACCAACCAACCAACCAACTAACCGACCAAGCAAATCCCGCTCTCCCGCAGAAAGAATAGACAGACAGACAGACAGACAGCCCGAATGGGAGATTAAAGTCGATCCTAAAGACCCAAGCAAGTCAGATCAGCTCAGCTCAGCTGAACTCACACGCAGACAGACAGATAGATAGACAGTCAGTCAGTCAGTCAGTCAGACGACAGTTTGCTTTCCTGGAGATCTCCACTCACACTCACACTCACACTGGCTCTCATAGCTCTGGAAATATGTACTCCGTATGTATATATATGTATATGTATATGTAAGTAGGTAGGTATGGTTGCATCCCACCCACCCACTCACATTCACGAGCACTTTGAATCCCACATGACAGATTCAGTAAATGGGATCGGTGTGCTCTTTCTCTGCCCCACGACATGACATAGTGCGTGAGAGAGAGGGAGAGAGGGACAGGAACAGGAACCAAAGTACTTTTGATTTGGTATACCCACTCCGCCTATATTCATTCATCTATGTATATATATATATATATATATATACATATACTACCATGGTGTTTAACAAGAGAAGGAAGAACAAAAGGGGAAGAAGAGACAGGAATTGCTGAGTCCCACTTCTGAGTGAGGTGTCTTACGGCCAGCAATGCAGTCAGTCTCGCATATGCACCTGGTCGGGAGGTGGGAAGGGGAGGCAAGAGCCGGTCATCTGCGCGGACTTTAACTTTCCGTTCGCCACGGTCATGTAGCAGTAGTAGCAGCAGCAGCTGCTGGTGGTGGTGTTAGTGAGACGGGCGGACGGACACACAGACAGATAAGACAGACAGCAGACGACAGCACGAGACTCCATTCCTGCTGCAAACTAAGGACATAACATAAGTACATCCGACAAAATTGCCCTCGGACCACACCTCAGACCAGGCCAGACCACACCAAGACATTACTTAAGAAGGCAGAAAGATGTGGAGGCAACCTCAATTTAGAATGAGAAATAGGATACGTCAATTATGGACGGCGAATTAGCGTATAGAGTAAAAGCAACATAATGTCATGTAGCAAAACGCACACGTAAACTGCAAAGGAACGTCTATAGAACACAATCCGACAGCTCACAGGGCCGAGAAGAGGCCTGACCGCAGCAAACCCAGCCACCTCGCGCATATCGCCAGGCGTCCGGTTCGTACAATTTATCTCCCTCCCTCGACCCGCTTCACCTGTCACGACTCAAAATAAAATTGATGCTCATGCTCAAAATGAACAGAAAAGATAAAAAAGCAATTCATCTCCTGAAGCACGATGCCACGCCGTGCGAATTTTGGCTCAAGCAAACCGATATTCAATTATTATCATAAGAAACAGCACAGTACTGGAATTAAAGGAAACCAATTGCTTATTAAGCAACTTTACACGACCATGATAAGGGTTTCAAAAAAGCGTACACACAAATGTTTGGTATCAAGTTGTCCTTTACAGAGCGTACTGGATCAGACCACCGAGGACGGCAGCAAGACCAAGAGCGGGCATGTTGGCCACGTTCATGACGGAGGCGCTGTCGCTGCTGGTGGAGGAAGAGCTGCTGCTGCTGCTGGTGGAGGAAGTGGTGCCAGAGGATCCATCGCTGGTGGTGGGGTCGGAGGTGCTGGCCTTGCAGGTGTAGGTACCACGGATGACGTTGTTCTCACGCAGGGTCTTGAAGGCGGTGCAGCTGAAGTTACCAGTGCTCTGCATGTTGAAGCCACCCTTGACCTCGGTCAGGGCAGAGAGGGTAACCCTGGATACACGAGTTAGCAAACAAAACGTCTTATCGGAACAAAGCAACTGGAGAAACTTACTCGTCGAAGTCACCGCTGAAGTCAATGGCACCAGTAACCTCCTCCAGGTCGGGGAAGTCGATGGACTTAAGCTTGTCGTTGCGAGCAATCTCGAATCCACCGTTGACGGTCTTCAGGACGGGCATGCTGATGTTGTTCAGCTTGGTGTTGTCTTCGAAGACAAGGTCACCAGTGGTGGTGAGGTTGGCAGCGCTGAAGTTGGTGAAGGTGTTACCCCAGAAACCAAGCTGACCGGTGAGAGTCTCGAGAGAGGGGATGGAGACACCGCTGACGTTACGGAAGGTCATGTTGGTACCGGTGCCGAGGTTAGGGAGGATAATCTGCAGGGAGTCCATGTTACCAGCGAAGTTGATCAGACCAGTGGCGTTGGTGAGCTCGTTGACGTTGACGGTCTTCAGGTTGGTGTTCTCGGTGATGTCGAAGCTACCGACGGTCTTGAGGGAGATACCGTCCAAGCTGGTAAGACCAGTGTTGGTGATAAGGACACTGCCGGCCTCGGAAACACCCTGGGTGAAGTCCAGGGACTGCAGCTCGGGGAGAGCAGTCCAGGAGATGGAGCCAACGCTGGTGAGGTTGGTCAAGCTGAGGGTGGTGAGGGTAGTGAGACCGTCCAGCTTGAAGGTGTCGCCGATGGAGTTCAGGGAGGAAGAACTGAAGGAGGTGATGTTGCTGCCGCCGGTGCAGCTCAGTCCACCAGTGATGGAGGTGACACCGCTGAGGGTGAGGTCACCAGAGGCGCTCGAGCTGATCTCAACATCACCCTTGAGGGTGGTGCAGGTCGCGTAGGTGTCAAGGTCACTCTGGCTGGAGATGGTGATGGTGCTGCCGCTGCTACCACAGCCTATATTGTTATCAGTAAGTGCCGTTCACTACTCACTTCATCCAGATGATCGCGGGTGGTACTCACTGGCAGCCATGGCGACCTGGGCCGCAGCAAGAGCGGGGAGGGCGTATTTGATGAAAGCCATTGCTTAGGATAACTTGAGACTGTATAGTCGAGAAGATGTCAGTCACAAATGTTCACCTCGATTGCTTCTGAGCCACTGCCAAGGTCCTTCGCACTGCAATCCAACAGATCCAATCCCAGTTGTGGCAGGCGCAAAGCTAGCAAATCCAACAGCAGCTTGAATCAGAGGAAAAGGTCGACCTACCAATGACGGCTGATGGTTAAGTATGCAGACTGGGGCGAGGCGAGGCCCTTTGGTTGACACGGATAGCAGCGTAAGAGCTGAAGAAGGGGGGCTTGTGAGACAATAAATAAGCGAGCGAGTGAATTAAGAGCTTCAACGAAGGAGAAGCTTTATGAACGAAGACCCTCAGCGAGAGAAAGTGCGCAGGTTAGGCAGGCACGATTTGCACGGGGAAGGGAAGAAGGGGAAAGAAGAAAGGGAAGGACAGAGGAAAGCGAGAGAAACGAGAGAGGAAAGGGAAAGAAGGACTGGATGGCTGGAAAAGAAAATCTTCTTCAAAAGAAAGTGGGAAGACTTTCAGGGAGGACAAACCAAGGCAAGAAAGGAGTCGTGGCCCCGAAAAGGTTGGTGGACCTGAGACCGGGGAGGGGGCGTCTTTCTCTCCTTGCGACGTTACCGGACCTGCGTATGAACGCTGCTCATACCCGTAAATTACACAATTTGCCGTGCCTGTCCTGGTTTAATTAATTAACTTCGGGGGCGATTGGCCCACGGTAACGGAGAGCGGAAAAAGAAATCGAGGAATCCTGATCTTGTCTTGGAAACGAATGGTCCATTTGGTTTAGTTTGCTCCGTCCTGTAACACCTCGCCAATGGCCAACTTCTTGCTCATGCGTCTGCTGATTCGTTGTGCCTTCCCTTTGGCTCCTCTTCCTCCTTTCCCCCCCCCCCCCCCCCCCCCCCCTTCTTCTTCCCCCGTCTCTCAGGCTCTCAGCAAATTCTGACCATTCATACCAAACATAGGCTTCTGGTGCTTGTATTCATTGCTCGAGCCGATGCAGCAGCTTGAATCGGACTAGATACTAACCACTCCCGCAGGCAACTTTACTCCGTATTTTTGACTGTATCGAAAAAGTCTGGCCCCGTTTCTTCTGGTTGTGATGGTGAAGTGGGCTTCCCATTCACAACTCAAACGTCATACTACAATAGTCGATCTGACTTGTGAAATCTATGAACAACCCGGCATCATCCATTGGTGCCCCCCCGCCACCCATTCAAAACATAAGCATCTCACTGCTGAAACCATCAGGAAGTCGTCAACCACAACTGACAGGTGACTCCTCTAATGGAATGCAACTCGATACATCACGGACATTCGTTGTGGCAGGTAACAATACTGACAAATTTAGCATCCTGCCGCTAGGAGGGGCCAGACCCCAATCGCGCATTGCTAGGGAGGTCCTGACTAATATTAGCATCCTATACCAGGAACAAATTATACATGTATCTCACTGAACCTGCGATGGCCTGTGTGATCTTGTGAGGTCGACTAATTATCTACAGTAGAATCTCCGGAGTATCTATGGGGGATTTATTCATATTGCCAACACAGTATTGGCTTATCCCTTCGCTCCACCATCGATTTTGTTCGCCTATTATTTATCCCTTTTCCACTCAACCACAGCCAAGTCAGCTTGTTTTCCATGGCCAGCAGCATGAGTGACAACACGAAGCTTCTAAGAATGCTAGTATCAAATTCAACAACATCTAGCGAGTCCGGTCGCTGTATAGTGGTCGATCTGAATTTATTGGAATCTGAGGGGGACCCGCTTTTTCCTCCAAGTGCGGACTCGACTCCGTCCTCCCTCACAAGTCCTGTCCTTTGCCTGCCTTACGTTGGTATGCAGCGCCCTGTTCGCGCGTTGGAATTTCGGTCGCCTAGATGCCTTTGAGTTGCTTTTGCCTCTTGACACGTATGTGTGTAGAAAACGGCAGACGACTGAGGCAAAAAAGAAAGAAAAGAAAGGTAATGGCACTCCCATGATCCCCGTTTTCAGTTTGAACTCATTCTTGTTCTTGTTCTTTGACTTCCAAGATGAATGCGCTGGACCTCATGCCTGAAAACTCAATTCTCGTCTTGGCTTCAGGTACCAGTGGATACCGAATCATAACAAAACAATGTCTCGGGAAGCTAATAATAAAGTGGCGAATCGATGGCTCTGAGGGGGAGAGCATCACGTGTGTCTTACAACTATACGTAACACGGCTGTAACTCCCATACCCACTGTTAGTGGCCCCCACTTGGCCTGGCCACAAAGTACTCCGAGTGCTGGTGCTGTAATTTCCAGTCGTTGTATCTTACATACCATACCGCGATAGAAATTGGCCGGCTGGACAAGACGATTAGACACTCCCGGCGCGGCCAGCCAGAGTCCAAAGCTGCTTGCCCATAGACGCATTCCTCCCATGCTAATTTCATAGTGGCAATGACTCGAAACATCCATGATATGACATGATCTATAGCGGCCTCGTTGAGACTTAAAAAAGCCAGACAAATTCCAAGTTGAGTCTCAGATCTTGAACGGTTGCAGAAAGGGTCAGTCCGATCTCATGTATACACCCGGCTATGCGCTGTAAGGGATTCTCCGGTCGTTATGATCCTCTCACCCGTCACAAAAAGGACTAACGGGATGATTGATTACCTACCTGCGAGGAGAATCCCGCGCGCATTATCAAAACCTGGCAAAGAGCGATCGCCGTGGTCGCTGCCACTATTGCTTGTTCTTTCTCGATCCGTTTAGAGTTCTTCAGCTATCAGACCCATTCCTACTCCACAACTATCCGTCGCAATAATAAGACTGCCCTGGGAGATATTCTCGCTCCCTAAGTGGCGCGAGACGCCCTTGCGACTGACTTTAATGAGATTTCCTATTTCTTGTTCGCGGTGGTTATATTTGGATGGAGTTGGTCGATTTTGCCTCTCAAATGATAATCATGTCGAACCTCGGCTTGGCCAAGCAAGCTGCTGCAACCTCTTTCATTGCCGATGTTTCACTTCTGACGCTGCGTAATAAAGCGCATGTACTAATGAAGTAGCCGATGAATTTTACCACCGAGCACGTTCTCCCAAACGCCACTAGACGCGGGTGGCTGGAACCGGCTAGCACTGTTTTGCCTGATAAGGATTGAATATGGTCTCCCAGTCTGACGCATCCAGTATGACAACTTACGATGTAGAGGGGGTTGGGATCGAATCGTTCGAGGACGGAGTATACTTTGTCTTTTGACAGATCGTTCAGCAGTGGCAATGAGGCCCAAAAGCATGGAATGATTCTGGCGTTCTTCAACTCCCAGCACTGGATGATACACCCTCTTCATAAGATACTTTTGCCGAGCACTGCACATCATAACTCTCCCCTATCCATCATAACAAACCATAAATCATCCATCCTAATTACCCCCCTATATCACGGCTAGAACGACCCAATCCTCTCACTAAAGCTTTAGCATCACAGCCCGTACTAGGTGTTCCGACCGGATCAGCTTGTCGGCATGGGACAACTCACCCCGACCACCATTATCACCATAGTAACCTAGCCCCAATATCGACCCCCTTTTTCTTAGCCACACCCCGATCCCATGATGTTCAGAACCTCAATGGGCGGGGCAAAAAGCAAACATACGTATGCCTTCTCCTCCATTGCGAAGAGCGAAGCTTTTTCTCTTCTCGGGATAAGATGTTCGGTATAGATAAACCAATGCTTGTTTGTCTACGGGAGTACCCAATACGGGGTTAAATGCCCATTTGGGCAAAATATGATGGATGCAGTGGATGATGGGCATACTTACAGCCCAAGGGAAAAAAAAAAAAAAAAAACCCACTCGCCGACCAGCGGAGGATTGTCGTTGCGCCCCCTTTAGGCATCGCTCGATTGTTGTCAGATAGTATTTACTTTACCTGGTGGACTAGACCTTACTTACCAATCAGCTACCACGGATGAACATGTCATCCCATGGAACCGGCTTCCTCTAGGGGTGATCTATACCTTGGTACGTACTTTGTAGGTTCACCACGCACTTCACTGTCTATGGAAGGTCCGTACGGAGTAGTCTAGTTGGTTGTTATCTACCTAGTGGCTGGGTCACACTTCCCAAACCACTCTACCTACGTAGATGCACACCACGTCCTTCTTTTTTTTGCCTCGAGATAAAAAATTTTACTATGAAGATGACGCGCAAGCTCACTGCGTTCGGTCGTTTCCGTTGGACTCTAAAGTACTACCCACCTGGTAGCCTAAAGAATATACACCAGTCATGTTAGCGATTTCGGTGATCTTCCGCATCTTATCATCATCGTGGGCCAACAACACATTTTGTATCGTATCTTCTTCTATGGAATACGTAGTACTATGTAGTAGCGATGCCTGCGACCATCGGGATCAAAGCCCTTACGAGTTACAACATATCAACCGGTGAAACATGGCCAATCGGGCAGTTTCCTTTCAGATAAATGAAATCGCAACGTTTGGTGGAGGCGGGATGGTGGTGGTTCTGATAGAAGCTTTTTTTTCTCTCCGTTGATTGATGCCTACGCATCGCGAGATCCATAGTTAGTATATTTTCTGGGTATTTTTGCTCCCCTCTTTCCGGAGGATTCCATACCGGGTAAATATTCCACATTTTTATTATTCTAGAAAAAGTGTTCGTGAACCGTGGATGGGGTTATAGTTACTGCTACTTTGTACGTACATTTCTATGTGTGGATGGGAGAGGATCATACTAGTATGTATGTATGGGCTAAGAATGAATGTATATTTTAACTTAGGGGATGGACTGCCCGGCACGAGACTTTCATGTTTGCAGTACGGTGTAGCTACCACCCATTTAGAATCCAATGAAATGACACTTCGCTATCATTGATGTTCAGTCTAAAACATTTTGATTATCTTGATTCACAATATACTCTTGATTCCATTTCCTATAGACTGATCATACCAGAACCCATGATTCTGCAGGTTTATTATGTTACTCAACATACAGCGTGTCTAACCACGGAATGTCATATGACCCAACAATAGCTGATTAAAGACCTCAAATTGAAGCGATAATGTTTCACATCTCTCAAATGCGGGGGATAAGAGACTACTACACGCATGCAGAGAAAACCGCAAGAAGAAGCGGTATGGAAAACTGACAAAAGACAGGAAACCAACCAAGGTTGATTGCTAAGACAGCTTGCTGCTCGTGACTTCCCGAGCTTATGTACTCCATCCTCATCATAGTACTACTCCAACGATACGAACCGCCATGACTGACCATACCATCTACTAACAAGAGCAGCAATAATATCCTTCCTTCAATCACTATTGAACTTCTTATATTCTAAATAATAATACACTCTGCTAAACAGCCACTGACTCAATGATGACACTACGACGCTCCGCTCGTCTAACCGCAGCGTCAGTGTCCAAGAACAACAGCACCACTACCATCAGCACTGTCCCACATCTGCAACCCAGAACTCAAACAAAGAGAGCAGCCAGCAGAACCACAAATGGGGTCTCAAAGACACGAAAGCCCGCAGCAGTAGCAAGGGGCAAGAAAGCGCAGCTAAATGCGAATCCTAAGCTAGACCAAGCTTCTCCCCTCACAGATGCACCAACAGCATCATCATCGCACTCAAGCAACAGCAGACAATCACCTAATACTACCACTACCACCACTACCACTACTACTAACAACATCTGGGACCCCATCCCCACCCCCAGCAGCAGAACGACCCCTCCCCCACTCGACCGACCCGTCGAACCGCACCACACCAACGCAACGCTCCTAACCCCCCACGGCTCATCACTAGTCGCCTACCCCCCAGGCACAGATGCGGACGCCTCTCCAAGCAAGACAGGTCGGCCCCGTCCCACCGCCACAACAGGCACGCTTCTGGAGAAAGCAGCCGCACACCTGATCGCCACAGATCCGCGCCTCGAATCGCTCATCCGCGAACATCCCTGCCCATTGTTCACGCCGGAGGGTCTAGCCGAGGAGATCGATCCGTTCCGGAGCCTCGTTAGCAGTATTATTGGACAGCAGGTGTCCGGGGCAGCGGCGAAGTCGATCAGGGATAAGTTTGTGGCGCTGTTTAATACCAACACCAATGATAATAAGGATGGAGATGGCGGTACAATAAGAACAAGCTTCTTCCCCACCCCGGAAGACATCATCAAAAAGGATATCACCACGCTCCGGACAGCAGGCCTGTCCCAGCGCAAGGCGGAATACATACATGGATTATCTGAGAAGTTCGCCAACGGGGAACTGAGTGCCCGGATGTTGTTGAATGCTAGTGACGAGGAGCTCGTGGAGAAGTTGACTGCCGTGAGGGGTCTGGGCAAATGGTCTGTTGAGATGTTTGCTTGTTTTGCTCTGAAGCGCATAGATGTATTTTCGACGGGGGATTTGGGTGTACAGTATGTTCCATTTTCCATTATCTGTGGGTAGTGATGGGTGTTGATGGGTAGATGCTGACTTGTTGCAGGAGGGGATGTGCGGTGTTTGTGGGCAAGGATGTAAATAAGTTGAAGGGAAAGGGTGGCGGTAAGTTCAAGTATATGCCTGAGAAGGATATGTTGGAGCTGGCGGCGAAGTTTGCTCCGTATAGGTATGTGGTGTTCTTTGATTTCTTCAATGGGTTGTTATCTGACATTAGTATTAGGAGCTTGTTCATGTGGTATATGTGGCGGGTGACGGATGTCAATATTGCTGTGTTGGGTGGGTAGATACTACTTGGTATATACAGACAGGATATAGATCTCAAGCATCGGATGGGTATAGTGTCTAGAACTACTATATGTACATTACTCAGAAGGTGTGGAACGCATATAGGTCTGCTACAGCCAACTAGAGAACGATGACGAGTGAATTTGTACAGTATCAGTACACGTGATTGAGCACCATAAATCAAAAGCTTCAATTAACGACCAGCCACATGCTCTCTTCCCCCCTCTCTCTTCGCAGCATGCCCGCCGAGCCGAGCCGGGACAGCAAGTAGTTCTCTCTGATACTTAGTGATACCCGCCCGTCTATAAAACCCCAGCGGCATTTTTGTATACCGTAACAAAAGTAATCTAGTTCAGCGAAGCCATCAGAGGCATAATCTACCGTCTGACGACAAGGGCGTCGAGGTCTTCGCGCTCCTGCTTCTCCTTCTCGATCTCGCGGATGATGGGGCTCAGGTACTCGACATCCTGGGGGACGACGACAGTTAGCATCCACCACATAATGATTATGAATCTCAAACGCGTCAAATAATTTAACAGAAACATCAATATATCAAGTCCAGTCAACATAAGCATCGATATGGAGTAACCCAGGTGGGTTACAAATCCCGCTCACGGGATTGGCCGATGCGTTTTTGCGGAGAAACTGAACGGGCAATTGACGGGTTGAAAGAACGCGGGAATTCGACTCACCTCCTCAGGCTTGGTCTGCTCAGCAGCGGGAAGGAGGGTGTGGGAGACGGAGCACTATTTTTGCGCATATCATATTAGTTTTTATGTTCTTCTGTATGTTGGGTTGGGTTTCGTTCGGTATGGGACGGACCTGGAATGCTCTGCGGATGCGGAAGATACGGTCGTAGGCCTCCTTGGGAGGGAGACGCTTAAGGGCCTTCTGGACGACGTCGGTCTCCTCGGGGATCAGGTCATCAGCCCTGGTTTGATTGTTAGTTGATGGCTGCAATGGAGGTATGGGTATGGGTTGGTTCGTGATGCCCGGACCAGCGGGCGACGGCAGGAAACATGATATGGATAGCCAAGTGGAGGGTGCTGTTTATAGATATTCCCCCGCAATTGAAATCTATCCATTGTCTTTTCCATTGATTCATAGTCGCTGATGTTGGTCCGGGAGAACCGCCCAGGAAGGTAAGGGAGTCGCCTACTTCAAGCCGAGTCTCCTGTAACCAGAGGCATCGGTGTACCACTGGGCAATGGGCATCATCCAGCGCTTGAGGAAGGGGCGCTTGACGATGTAGCTGGCGAGGGAAGGAGCGGACATGGTGAATGATCCCAGCGGGGTTGATCGGGTCCAATTGACGGGGTGGTGTGGAGGGGGAGGATCGCGAAATGTCAGTCAAGCTGAGCAGGAGATGGCCCGACGTTGGAGATTGTGCAAAACGGAGGTTCGGCGGGTGACTTTCCCAAAAACATCCGATGTTGATGCCTGAGGCATGAAGAATCATTCCGAGAAGTATCAGTAAGAACTGCCTTCCACGTGACCGGCACAGCTTGCGCCATGGGTGCTTCGTGCCTCAGGCCAAATAAGCGGCGCGCTTGGAGGCGGACAAGATTCACTCATTCCCGAACTCCACTCCACCTGACTGACTGGAATACGACTAAGACAATCCCTCCAGCTCAATTCATCCCGTCCTCATTGCTCCGTCCTGTTCCGTCTGCTTCCTCTTAACACCGGCGCTCCCTTCTGTTCGGACTTCACACCGACGGTCTTTGATTTAATACTTTGGTTTGTACTCACCGGGCATGCCGCTTATTATCAATCCGTTGAACATTTTTCTTAGTTCGATTCCCTTTCACTCCGATAGGGGAGCTGCGTTGCTCCTACAGACCCCGCCCCGTCTGTGCTTCAGATAGGCCAACCTTATTACGCCCACTCCTCCCGGCAGCATCGGCTCCTCTCTGAGAAAGAAAAACCCTTCAATTCACTGTCTCGGGGTAGTGTTTCCTGTTCTACCAGCGCCCCGAACGACGTCACGCTTTCCTCCCCTCTCACCACGATTTGACACACGGGTTATTTTTGGGTTCCGGAGCGAGCACCGATATGCTCGGATCCGGGAACCCTCGGTGACATAGTAGACGGATTGCATACTGCTTTGAGCGCTGGCTGGAAAGATGTTCTCTGAAGGCCATGGCCCGTCGGGGGCTGCCAGCGGCTCTCAAGAGCAGCAGGGTACAACTTCGGACAGCCCGCCATCGTCTACACTTCATGTATCGGCCGAGTCTCCGTCCCAACCTACTTTTCTGGATCGCTTCGAAATGCTTGCTACACGTGTGCCGGATTATTACATCACACCGTTTTGCGGGGCCAGTGCGGGCGTCGCCTCGGGGATCGTTACCTGTCCTCTCGATGTGATCAAGACCAAGTTGCAGGCTCAAGGTGGATTCGCGCGACGACGTGGCGGCAAGGCGGTCGAGGCTAAGACACTGTACCGGGGAATGCTGGGAACTGGACGAGTAATATGGCGGGAAGATGGTATTCGAGGCCTTTATCAAGGATTGGGTCCTATGCTCCTGGGATACCTGCCGACGTGGGCGGTCTATTTAGCGGTCTACGATCGATCTCGGGAGTATTTCTACGAAACAACAGGTGAGGAGTGACAACCAGGGGTTGGTGATGGTGAGGCTGACGTAGGAACAGATAGTTGGTGGCTTTCACGAGGTTACGCCTCGATAACGGCGGGCGCTTGCTCGACACTTGCGACAAATCCGATCTGGGTGATTAAGACACGACTTATGTCACAGAGCCTCCGGTCAAGCAGCGAAGGCTACCGGGCTCCGTGGCAATACAAAAATACATGGGATGCGGCCCGCAAAATGTACAGAAGTGAAGGGATCCGTTCGTTCTACTCCGGCCTGACTCCAGCGCTGCTGGGACTGGCGCACGTGGCCATCCAGTTTCCTCTCTACGAATACTTGAAGATGGCATTTACTGGCTATAGTATTGGCGAACATCCTGATACTGGCAGCTCACACTGGGTGGGCATTACATCGGCGACATTCCTGAGTAAGGTTTGTGCCAGCACTGCGACATACCCGCATGAAGTGCTTCGGACACGACTCCAAACGCAGCAGAGGACATCACCGGCGGCCTCACCCGAAGAGATCTCGTTCCGCGGCGGGATGGATCACCCCCAGGGTCATAGCAGGCCCCCGGGTGCGGCTTCGTCGGACGGGATGCCCAATCGACCCCGTTACACGGGGATCATTCGCACATGCCAGACCATTCTGAGAGAGGAAGGCTGGCGCGCATTCTACTCTGGGATCGGCACGAACCTGTTCCGGGCAGTCCCGGCTGCGATGACTACCATGCTCACTTATGAGTACTTGAAGAAAACCATCGGACACGTGCAACATGAGGGGGAGTTGAAGCTGCAGAAGCTGGAGGCCACATCAGACAGTGGAATCTAATTACTAGACGGGTGGTCTGTGACGAGGTGACGAGCCATGGGCATCGCACCTAAGCTGGGATTTCATTGCACCCTAGCGATTTTATTTCTGTTCCGTGCTAGTCGTACATTGCGAAGATACACTACCATAGAGGACATTCATTTCCTGGGCTGCAGCCCATGATATCCTGTCTGCACGTTATTTTGAACCTTTCGACACATCCTCGGCACAAAGATACACCCTTACGGAGTAGGGGTAGATGTATGATGTGCTGTTGACATGTGAAATTCCAAACAATCTAGTCTTGTTCTGACTTGTTGAAATCCTTGGTGGTTATGGTTCTGAGCGTTCTTGTCTTTTTTCCCCCGGATCGATAAACCTCAATTGCGATTGTATATACATACAAAACTTCCCTCTAGAACATATGCTCCATAGTAAGATAAATAGCATTCAACATTCCGAAAACAACTACTCAGCTAATCTAATGAGGATAATTGGGGGGGAGGGGGGGGGGATACATCCATCATCCATGCACACAGCTGCATTCCCCCTCTCCGTCCGTTTCCCACATGACATCAGCGGGAAAGTCACGTGATAATCACACTAAAAACCGCCGGCGAAATTCTCTGTGCGGTTTATTTCCTTCCTACCAACCATGGCTATAATGAAAGCCATATTAACCGACACTGTTGGTTGATATCATTCTTGTATTGCGCAATAATGTATTTGTGCTTATGATGATGATGATGATTGATGCATATTCGACTTGCTACTCTCTTCTATAATAGAATTGTTGTTGTTTCTTTTTTGTGCTGGTGGTTTATTATCATTTGACTCCATTTATATGATGAATAATTTTTAATGGTAGATCCTGTTATCCGCCATGGATATGGGATATGATCATTGATACACTGAAAATTCTGATAATGGATTAATTTGATATGATGTTGATGTGTTGTGTTTGTGATGCTGATATTAGCCATTTCATATCAGATTGTTATGTGTGCCGATTCAATGCCATGAAAATTTGAGAAAATGTCCCAGACATGAAGCAATAAGTAGTACTTGTAGTATATACAACGCGTATTTGGTAAGATTTACACTCAGTTCTGCCCGACCTAAATCACTTCTTCTCTCCCTCCCGACTCTCTTCCAGTGCCTGCTGTACCCATGAAGACTGCGACTCTGCCTTCTTAGTAGGTCGGGGCGTAGTGGTTGCGGTGCTCGATGTGGATTGCGCCTCGCGACGAGCGGTGTGGATGGATTTGATGCAATAGGAACCAAGCAGAAGGGCCATGGTAAAGGCGGCTATTGGGGCATTGAGGGACTGTTCATAGATAGTATGTTAATTACTACTAAGGTAGGTCGAATGGTGATCATCCAGAGTGTGTGCTGTGCTGTTCAATAGAAACCAAATATATACTTTTCGCAAGCAACTGTCATGGGATCAAACCAGCAACTACTACCACTACTAATAATTGCAAAGGAATAAGAAGATGAAAAGAGTGACTCACGCCCGATGATCGGCCTAGTGTCTTTCCGGCCATGGTTTACGTTCGTTCTTTCTTTCTTGTAGTAGGGAATTTGACTGGTGGCCAGGAAGATACGCTTTCCGACCAAAGTCATCCGGGATAACTTAACCCGTCTAAGTAAACAACTAACTAAGCAAAGATTCTTACTAACTAGAATGGTTCTAGAGCCACACTGCAGGGAAAGTACATCCTCGGGCCGGAATAATCCGATAGGGAAGGAGGAAACATTATCAGATGGAGGGCGAGCAGATAAGCCCATCCTTACGATACCAGCCGCTGCTCTGCTCCGTACCGCTTGGTAATGCCCGCCTGCAGAACTTCCCGTTGGCCGAAACTGCCGGTTCTTCTTTTTGGTTAAGAACCGGCGGACCCAGAACTACTACTCCCGCCTACCCTTTCTGTTGTAGGCCACAGAACTGGCATTCCATCCTCCCCAACAGCGATTCTTCTGGTAGAACGTGTCATCCCCTATTATTCTATCAGATAGCTTTTTCCATCCACGGGTATTCCAGACAAGTAACAATACACAGCATAACTCCCTAATCCCACCCACTGGTTCGCTTTAACGTCATACCCTATCTCCGAGGCCGGCTCCGCGGAGGCAACGGGGTTTCTCGAAATCGCCTAGCGCCGGTGAATAAGACGGCCTTAGTCAAGTTTCCCCCCCCAAAGAAACCATAATTAATCAATCGCAACTATCAATCTTTCATCACACCCTACTCTTCCTAAACTAACTTAACCACTCAACCCCGACATCACCACTCACCTGTTCCTTTCATCATCAATTTACTGTCTAATCAATACCTTACTTTTCTCTTAATTCATCACACACATCACATACACAATGTTCCGTCGTCTAGTAACAGTTGTTCCTCGCTCCGGCGTCCTTTCGCCTCGCAGCGTCACCCCGGCCGTCTCCGGAATCCAGCAAGCCGTGAGGTCGACTGTTGTTGCTCCTCAGCAGCAGCAGCGCAGAGGATACCATGAGAAAGATATGTTTACCTTTTAACCCCCTTTTGGATCGAAGAAAATACTGACCATCCCTGCACTGTTGGACCACTACTCCAACCCAAGTAGGTAGCTTCCTGCAATTCATCCCTCGACAAGATGTCATCGCATCAAGATATACAATACGCAGCGCATTCAAATCACGCCCACCTGACACGCACACTCTAAATAAAAAGGCCCAGAAACGAATACTAACGAGCATCCTATAGGAAACGTCGGCTCCATGGCCAAGTCTATGGACGTTGGTACCGGTCTTGTCGGCGCCCCAGCCTGTGGCGATGTTATGAAGCTTCAGATCCGCGTCGACAAGGACAGCAACAAGATCAGCGACGTCAAGTTCAAGACTTTCGGTTGCGGTAGCGCTATTGCCAGCTCGAGTTATCTGACTGAGTTGGTCCGCGGAATGACCCTCGATGAGGCCGCTAAGATCCGTAACACCGATATCGCCAAGGAGTTGTGCTTGCCCCCTGTTAAGCGTACGAACCCCCCTTGTTACTGGAGATGAGAGAGCGCTGAAAGAATCTGGGCAAGAGATGACAAGAGCTAACATAAAAATCTAGTGCACTGCTCCATGCTTGCCGAAGACGCCATCAAGTCCGCCATCTCGGATTACTACACCAAGAACCCTCGCACCGTGAAGACCGATCTGTCCGGCACGGGCGCCTCTATTCCCGAGGTGCAGGTGGAGGTTGAGAAGACCAGCAGCGCTACTGCTTAAGTCTTTTTGAGTGTTTTACGAAAGAGTGAAAATTTTGAAAAATCATAAAAATATGGAGCAAAAATGGATACGGATACGGATACAGATACCATGATTGATTCCCTGGAGAGAAGAGCGAAGCAGAATGATACAATGGAGATGTGACTGTGTATGGATTTGGCCTGTGGTGGAGTGGCGTGGAATGGTCTGGGCCGAATATGTGATTCCCACAAAATAACCTGTTGCTTGTCAGTCAGTCAGGATTGGATGGACTTTTCTTCCTTTTGTTTCGTTTATTAAACGGTGTATAGCATTTCATTATTCTTTCTATCCTTTTCATGACTCGTTTTACTCATTTTTTTTCCGGCGAAGCAACTAAAGAAGGGATTGATAATTCGGATATATACAACATCATCATCATCATCATCATCAATCACAGTAGTACATACACTACACAATAAAATGTACTCCTCTCTATGTAATATCTAAACTGCAATCATCACAACGTAGTATATACACAGTAGAATGATAGAAAACCATCGAAACCAAGAGATTAAGTAGTAAAAAGAGGTTGGTTTATCTGATTCGCCACCTCTCCACCACCACAGTCATTTCAGCTATGGCCACTGACATCATGCAGCACAGCACAGCACAGCACACATAATTTACAGTGACATGAGACAAGTTTTAACACAAAGAAGGAAAAGCTCCATCTGATAAGCAAACTTAGCATAGCCACTTCTAGTACAAAGTAGTTAAGCTCCATCTACTCTAACTAGTAGTCTGTGCGTGGAGTATCTAACAAGGTACGCATGCATGCATGCATGCAACGATTAGATCTGATAAATTTTGTGGCAGCACTGTAACAGACTGTTGTGGGTTTAGTGTATTTTTCTTTTTTGATTTGTGATTATTTCGTCTGATTTGGGGAGTGATGTACAAGGGGGTATGGCTCCCAAGGTACCTTACCTATTTGTTTTATCTATCTTACCACTCTTAAATACTAGGTTGCCTGTTTATGTATCTACTAATTGCCTAAGTTGGTAACTTCAATTCATCCATTTAGGGAGTAGTAGCTATTGTATATATCTTATATATATATATATATTATAAGGTATCTAGTGTATAAGAGATAGCAAGATAATAAAATGGAAATTCTATATATATTCTATATATGTATAAAATACAGACGGAGCACTGCTTTCTTTTCAAGATCCAGATAAATGAAACAGACAAACAATGGGGGAACATAACAAAAGCAAGTCTAAAGTAACAATATCAGGCGGATTAACTGAAAGAGAAAAAGGTACTGGAAAAGGAAAAAAGAAACGCCAATGCACAACACCGCATGCATATGCCCTCTATATATCGATATCGATCAATTACTGCGTAGCAGGGATTCAAAACCAAAGGAAAAAAGGGTAAAAAGTAGAGGTAGAAAAGAAAGGATAAGAATATTAAGAAGGGAATGAAAAAATAATACAATCGATCAAACCAACCCGAACCGATTCTTCAGCGAAAGCAACGTCTCATAAACAGACAACTTCAACTCCACGCGCAGATACCCAGTCCAAGCGCAGAGGAAGCGCCAGAAGTTTCCAGGACGAAGGATACCTCCGGTCTCGTTGACAGAGTCCATTTGCTCTTCGAAGACGGTGCGGGTGGCGTAGCGGGCGAGAATGAGGAAGGTGCGCATAGGTCCTTGGCGGGTGTGGAGGTTCTCGTCGAGACTGCGGGCTGTATTTTTTTTACATCATTGATTAGAGGCAGGGTAGATATTATATAAGGAAGGAAAGGAGTGGGACTAACTCAGATCGTTGGTCTTGAGGATCAGTAGAATAATCCGAGGTACTTGACCTAGGAGTTCCACTAGTTGTTGCAGCAGACCGTCGGCCAAAGAGCCGGACATGCTCTCTCGTTCTGCCGAGGTACGAGCAGACACGATATCCTTCTTCTGGAGCACCATGTAGTCGCGGCCCGTGATGGCACTGGCGAAGAGCGGGAACTGCTCGTCCGTGATTCCGGCGACCTTGCGCGCGTACTCGCGCATGCGCGGCAGGTCGGACTCAATCACAGCCAGCCAGAGCTTGGCGTAGTTGCAGCGCAGGTCCTTGTCGATGTCGCGGTAGAGACCGTGGTCGTAGAGGATAATGTCGAAGTTGTGCCGGCGGCGGTTGGGGTTCGGACGGATGGCGATGTTGCCGCCGTGAGGATCACAGTGCAGGGGTGCGTTGTTACCGAAGATCATCTCGTTGAAGATGTGTGCCAGAGCAGCGGAGACTTCGTCGCGGTCAATGTGGTTTGAGTCGAGGAATTCAAGGTCGTCGGGACGCCGGCCGGAGATGAACTCCATGACCAGGATACGCTTTTGGGACCACATCACTGGCTGATGTTAGTATGCACTTCATTGTGCAAAAGCGACTTGTGATTGCTGAGGCATACCTTCAGGAATGACCAACGGGGCGTCTGAGTGCTTCTTGAAGTACTCGCTCGCCCGCGTGGCATTTTCCGCCTCCATTCGGAAATCCAGCTCCTGGGGCAGAGACAGGTCCATTTCACGAGAGAGCCATTCCAGATCGTATTCAGGGAAGAAGCGCTTCAGCATCGAAAAGGTAAACCGAGTCAAGGCCAGATCCAGGGGCACCCACTCCGCCAAAGCGGGATGCTGCACCTTGACCGCAACCTTCTGACCTGTTTCCTTCAGCGTACCAATGTGCACCTGCGCCAAAGAAGCGGCACCAATAGGCTCGGAATCGAAGGACGAGAACAGCTCGTCGATCCGACGTCCTGTATCGGCCACGAACATTTCCTCGATCGATTCAATCGATGACACGGGGCACTTGTCCTGGAGCGGGATAAAGGTTGTAGTCCATTCCGACGGAAGTAGGTAGCCCATGCTACTCAAATGCTGTCCCAGCTTGATAAAAATCGATCCATTCTTCTCGAGAACCCGTAGAGTCCGTTCCGCGCAACGTTTGTGACAGGCCCGAATGGCTTCGCTTCGCTCCTCCGGCGTGGAGGTTTCTTGCTTGAGAGTTACCCGGTAGCTGCATGAATCAAGACGTATAAGTATGCTGACAGCATAGCGTCAGGGGTATATATGTAGTAAATGCTTCCCACTTACTCGTTAATGCAAACCGCCAATGTGCCAACCACTCTGCCAGTTCTCGCAGCGGCACGGTAGAAGTGTTGAACTTGGTCCGAAAACACCACTGCTCCTACCACGAGGGTGCCTCCAATCACAGCATACTTGATGGTCTTGCTACGCGATTGACCTGATCCCGAACGCTTTCCATCACTTTGTCCCGAATTCGCCGATTCAGACAACGGAGACGTGCGGGTGGCGTAAGTGGCCCGGGGAATCGACTGGGCGATACGACCGGAGAAGCGCTTCGAGCATGATACAGGAGGTGTAGTAACCGAGTTGGAAACTAATCGACGGGAAATCGAGGACAACGGGGCGAAATTGCCAGGGTGGCAGGCGAGAGAAGGCTTCGCAGCCGATCGTATGACCGCCGCAGGATCAAAATTGGAAGCCCGCAGCGGAATGCGGAGGAGCGCCGCCCTCATCCCGAACTCGAACAATGCCGTCTGGGGAGCGACCACAAGTCGAGAACAGCAGTCAACCGGACGGGGTGGATCATCCGTGCCAGCACGAAGCCCTCGAGGACAATTGTAGGGGGAGGAGGAAAGTCTGCAGGAGGAGGATGAGGAGGGAGGATGCAGCGGCGGAGAAGTTCACTGGTTGGCCGCCACGGCGCATTTTCGTCGCACTTCTGCGTCGGAAGCCGATCAGCCCCGTTTGGCCGCCACTTCGGGATTGCCCTTACAGTGTATATATCAATTATAATCAATCAACTGTAAGTCAGTAATAATTTCTACACAACGTTCGAAAAGAAAAAACGTAATATCGCACTTGTATGTTATCCATGATTATCTACATGGGTCATCCCTCCCTGACAGTTCCGTCTTCCTGTACCCCGAATACCAGCCAGCCTGAGAGAGATCCCATCTCCGCCTGAAAGCACATCGACAAATGAATGTGTATACACAGTCAAAGCAATTCACAAAAAAACCCAGTACTCCAATCCTATGCAATGCAAATACAATGTATCCATCTCCTTCCAGAGCCTCCTGTCTACATTATGAGCCAATCACCGCACCTCGGCCCAGCATGAGGTCCGCTAGGACGCCCAGTCAGAATCAGCATGCGTGGGTCGTCGGCGTTGAGGAAGGATGGAACGTCGACGAGAGAGTGAACTCGACGGTCGAGTCTCCTCCTCGGCCAGGAGCTCTACTTGTGATAGCCTGTTAGCCACTCCTCGCGACAGTCTGTTCCTCGACGGGCCGGCACTGCTGCTGAGCCCAGCTGACAGAGCGGGGCTAGTGCCATCCCTGCTGCCTGGTCGTAATGCCAGAGCCGAGCTGCTGAGAGAGGGCCGCGGGTGTCGCTGGCTTTCCCGTCCATCGAAATAAGCCTTGGGTTGATTGAACCGAGTGATCTGTGGGGTGGCTGGGGCGGACTGGTTTGCAAGGTAGCCTGGGGGCGTGGTAGACGTGCTCTTGCGCCTCATCCCAGGCTTGCGCTTCTCGAGGCTGAACGATTCACTGCGCTCATTGGATTGGATCAACTTGCCAGCCATGTCTCTGACCAGGATGGCCGGGTCATGCTCCAATTCCCGGATTGCTTCCAAAAGTCCATATTTCGCAAGAAGGCCACCTTGTTCTTCGCTCGAATCGCAGATGCTCGAGATAATACGCAGGAGGTTCAGCCGAACAGCGGCCTTGTTATGATGTAGTTTCTGCCCTAGCCTCGTGAAGAGATCAGGACGCGCAAACGTCGAGGCAATAGGCGGACTCAGTCTCAGAAGCTTTTGCAGCGGCTCGAGAATGTTCTCGAAGGCGTTGGCCTTGGAAATCGTTAAGCACCTGACAATGGAATCCGTAAATGACATCTTGTCGTAGCGATTATCCAAGAGATGTTCCTCTACCTTGGCCGTTTCTTCCTGGAGCCTGCCAAAGAGTTAGATCGGATTGTCACTACACATGGCGCCGACACATACCAAGTGAATATAGCATCCAATGCGGTCACCTGCCAGTACGGGTCCGACAGCAGAGAAATATAGAAAGCCAGACCCTTGTTGCGCCATAGTTCGCGCCGTCCCACCTTTCCTGAATGCGCCATGTCGCAAAGAATCGGCAACGCAAACTCTTTGAGCGGCCGCTCGGTCTTCACAATCTTCTGAAGAAGCGGGACTATGCCATTCAGAGCCGCATCCTCCTGGCGGGACTTGTTCAGACGACACATGTTGTAGATAGTGTTGAGAATCTGGTTGCTGACTTCCCGGAAGTGCGGCCGTTTGATGGTCGACCTCAGCAAGTCCGTAAGCACGTCGATGGCGTTGGAATTCTGAAGCGAGTCGAGAGTAGTTGAAAGCATGGACAGATTCTTGATAAACTTCAACATAGTGATCTGGTGTGCGGGCGTCATCCGCTTCAGCTCTTTCAGGACCCCTGAGACAGATTAGCGGAGTTTTTTGAATTGTATACTCGATGTCTTACTGTGTAGAACTGTTCGTTCAGCAACCATTTCCTTGACGTGATTCTCGGCCTGCGAGAAAATGAAAAAGATGTTGGCTATCCGGCCTTCAACGATTTCTGCCAATTCTCCTTCTTCATCCAAGACTCGGCTCAAAACAAGTGACAAGGGATCCAAGACAGAATTGCGTGATAGAATTCTGCAGAAATCATTTTTCGGCGTCGAACCCTAAACCGAGTCAGCGTCTGAACGAGCAGGTTAATCTGCAACAGTCGAACATACCTGTAAATCAAAAACGCTCCAGATACCGTTCACCCCAATGAGAACGAGGTCGCGTTCATCTTCGTAGTCGTCTTCCAAGAACTCGACCAATACGTTGAGACCACCAGCACTGACGAACATCTGGAGGGTAAGCGTAGATGTTTGATACATCTGCTGCACAAAGGCCGCTGCTTCTAGTCGAATCTCTCTCGGGTATTTTTTGGAGGCAAACTCATTTATGATTGGAATACCTCCGACGAAACAGAGATTTTCTTGGATTTCATAGTCATTGAAAATGATGGCGTTGACAATCCGCAACAAGCACAGAATAATATCGCGCCGACGGCAGATGTCAAGGATTTCCAAAATCGGTAGCATCCCGTGTGCGCTAATGATGATGTTCTTCGTCTCTGGCAGGTCACAGAACACGGTTAGTAGTTGCTCGGAGATCTCCCCAAGCACATCTTCATCTTGAGATGTCTTCAGAGAGCTGACAAGACCCTCGACTTGACCCCGTAGACGTGCGTATTTGTCACGCGCGATGTTGGCTTCCAGATCTACCTCATCGAGTCCTTCTTCAAGCTGGGCGAACGGATCATCCTCATCATCTTGATCGCCAAGCCATGAATTGTTCGATAGCTTTGAGTTCAACATCAGCGTACTCCGATCTGAGCCCTCATCGCTTTCGGGCTTATCCAAGGCAACCTCATCAGCTCCTAGAATGTCAGAAAAGTCTTCGTCTCGCTCATTCTCTGCGAACTTTTGTATTTCTATTGCTGATCGGTGGCGCTTGACAGATATCCGCTTTCTAAGCTGCGGCTGGTGATCCTCATCACGATCCGGTGACGCCTGATACCGGACTACCTCCTTTGAGGGCGAAGAAATCGATATATCGCTGCCCTCTTCGTCGATATCCTGAGATATGCATAAGAAGACGCACACTACTAAGACAGTAGGGGAAATGCTTACCTGGAAAGCACTGAGCTTATCATCCAAAATATCTTCATTTGCAGAGATGAGGTCGGAATAGTCTTCAACCGAGTTCTCTTTGAAATACGATGTCGGGCGCTGCGGTCTTAATGGTGGCACAGGGGTCTTCAGAACAGGTACATTGTGGTGCATTGCAGTTAGTGTGGGTTTTGTCTGCTGTGACATGTTCTCCATCCCGGTCGGTTTGGCCGAGTAAGGCCGAATGGTCCGAAGAGGATCCGATTCACCGGGCTGTTGAGAGAAAGGATCATCGAAGTCATCAAAGCCGTCTTCTGACTTCAACACTGTACCATCTAGGGATGCAAACGCCTTCAGCTTTTCAGAGGAAAGCATTCCGCCAAAATTGTCCTGTGGTCGGAGGTGAGGAAGCTGCAGCGCGCTGGGAGAGATAGCAGTAGCAAAGTCATCGTCCCAATTGTCTTCTTCCGTGGAGTCCGGCGAGCGGAACCGATCTGTCACATGCTTGGACACCGGGCTGGGAAGAATATCCTTTGTTGGTGTATATCGAGATGGAGCCATTTCGGGGCGCAGAGCAGCACCTTGAGCGTCGTATCTGTACGGCTTCCGCAGGGTTCCAGTGTCCGGAGAACGGAGGGCTTCGTTCCACTCCTGAACGCTCTTGACTGCTTCCTCATACTCGGTGGATTTCTTGGGAACCACGGAATCGGACCTGCGAGCGTTGACAATCCATGGGTGTTTAAGGAGCTTCCTGGCGGAAACACGAAGATTGGGATCTTTTTGGAAGCATTGCATCAAGAAGTCTTTGACAGCCTGGATACTAATGAGATATTGAAAACGGGAGAAAGGGACAGGGAACGGACCGGAGAAGCACCCTGAGGAAGGGGAGGGTGGTCATCATTGACAATGCGGAATAGAGCCGGCATAGGTTGGAGATTGTAGTAAGGAGGCTTACCCTCCAGAAGCTCGATCACGGTACAACCAAGACTCCAAATATCTGAAGCTGTCGTCGCACCAGAAAGTTCAATCACCTCCGGAGCCATCCAATACGGCGTCCCAACGACGCTGGACTCGCTAAGCCCAGTGGTCCTGCTGGCCACACCAAAATCTGCAAGCTTGACCAGACCTTCTTTCGTTGTAAGGATATTGGCTCCTTTGATGTCTCGATGAATGACACCTTGCTCGTGCAAATATAAGAGACCATGGAGCACTTGAGACATGTAGAGACCGACCAGGTTTTCTGGGAAACGCCCAAAGTTCTTTGCGATCGAGTGTAAAGAGCCATTCTCACAGTATCTGTCTCGTCAGCTACGCTGATCATTGGCTTCAGCAATCAATGCGAAGGGTACATACTCAAGAATGATATTAAGAGTTTCCGCAGACTTCACGAACCCCTGATACTTCACAATATTGGGATGCTACAATCACAGGTCAGCTCGGGTGACAAGGGGACATGATCGGATGTCGCATCTCACATCTAGGTTCTTCAAAAGATCGATTTCCAACTGCAACACTCGGCGTTAGCGGACAGCGACCCGACAAGCGGCGACCGGAGAGGGATATTACCATAATCACTCGTAGTTCACTTTTCGGCAGATCCACCAATTTGATCTGCTTCACAGCGACAGTTTCCCCGGTATTCCAATTCAGGGCCCTGTAGACCGACCCAAAGGCGCCTTTACCCAGGCAGTCGCCCAATTGCTACATTAAGTCACCATTAGCCACTCCCATCACGGGGGAACCAGGGAAAGCCGTAATCCATACATAATCCTTAAGCTCCGCGACATCCTTAGCAGACGATTTGACAACCCTATCATCCTTCGGTTTGTCTAGTTTGGCCGGGCTGGAGTTGAGTCTCGACAGTCGCGTTTTGGCTGGAGTACCGGAGGCCTTGGAAGGAGGCGGCGGCCCCTCACTGGCTTCGCTGGACCGGGAAACCATGGTCGCGCAGCGGGTGGATCGAGGTCCCCTTTTCGCTGTTGTTTAGAATGACACTCAACAGCTGGATGCACTCGGATTCCGACAACTGTAGGCTTAGACGACGAGGGAAGGTGTAGAAAAGGCAGACGCCAGAGAACCGATCGGATCGTTCATGTCAGCACGAACTATTTATCCAGAACAGAAGATATCTTGTTAGTAGGTTTCAGACATATTATGAGATGCAGCAGGAAGATGAATCTGCGCTGAACTCCGCAGACAATATGGCATGATCTCATGATGGATTCAGACGAAAGAGAAAAAACATACAGGAACGATCTTTGTCCTCGCAGTCAAGAGAGAGCCGCGTCCGGTTCAACGCGTCTCTCCACATCGAATTTTCCCTCCAGAAAAGCAAATCCAATCGTCCGCTTGTCAGAAAGACTCACGGATATCCAACCAGATGCTTGCGAAAGGACCGACGAAAAGTCACGGACTGCTGTGCCTGCCGGAGCAAATGCAGGACAGGCGGGTGTTTTGAACTTTCCTTTTCTCTTGTTCCCCACAGACCACCACCAGCTGGCTTAGGCCATGACGCAGCGCCCGGCCGCTGCTGGATCTCCGATCAGCCTTATCACCGTATCACTTACACCCGCTGTGATGCGAGCTGTGCAATTACTCCTCTGCAACTCGTAGCATGTTCTTGATGTTTTCTTACTGCAATGTAGTGCTGCACTGTATATATGCAGGTCGCAAGACTGGTTTGTGCATTGGTGATTTACAAAATTGGGTCCTCGGAACAGGAAATGCACTTCCGTTAAGCTAAACTAATGTATGCTTATATACTTACAGATACGCCAAAACGCTGCGGATGGAAAAGGGGTATCTCTGTCACTGAAGACCATTGGTCCTGATGCCATGACTTATAATTGCTTTTGTGCTTCCCGAAGAAGACGTAGAACATCCGACGCCAGGTAGAGGCTGCCAGCAATGACCAATGGGCCGTCACTAGCTTGTTCACAAGCCCAATGGATAGCGCCGGAAATGTCTTCCCCAAAGGTTTGCACTTGTCCAATACCCGCGATTGATCGGACACATGAAGCCACCTCTTCTGGATCAGTGGCCTTGACCCAGGGCATGCCATCCACGGGTCCGAACGCGGTGATCGCGACTCGATCGCCCGCCTTGATTATAGAATGAAACAAGGATTCTATATCCTTACCGCGGGAGGCCGCGATGACCCAGGTGACGTTCGTACCTTGCGGACGAAGTTTGTAATCCACATATTCTCCAAGAACCTCCGCCGACTGAGTATTGTGGGCACCATCCAGCAGAACAGGCTCTTCACGATCTGTCAATGGTTTCAGAACAAGCTTTTGTAGGCGCGCCGGCCACTCGACTTTTGACAGTTGTGGAACGAGCACTTCGACGTCGATGTCGGGACGGAATCGAGACAGAGCAAGTTTCAAGGCCGAAACCGCACAGGACATGTTCGCTCGCTGGTGAGGTAGGAGATCGAGTGTAGCAAAGAGCCGACTGAGCGATGAGGAGTGATATTCTGGAGTATCGGGGTGGGTGAAGATCGCGTCGATGCCGAGTTCCTTGATGTGGTCTTCGAGAGTTCGGAGCACTTCAGGCGAATTGGTACCATCTACAACACATGGAACACCCGATTTCATGATTCCCGCTTTTTCCCTTGCGATTTCTTCGATAGTATCGCCGAGGAGGAACTGATGGTCTAGGCCTATCTTGGCGATGACGGAGACCAAGACGTCGGTCAGGATGTTCGTTGCGTCCAGGCGACCGCCCATGCCAACCTCAACCACTCCGATGTCAACGCGCTCATGATTGAATATCTCGAATGCAGTCGCAGTCAGTAGCTCAAACTCGCTCGCACCGATTCCCAGCGTTTGATCTCGAAGCTTAACTCTAGCTTCAATCTGCCGGAAGAGTGACTCTTGGACGACTTTTTCGCCGATAGTGATGCAGTCCCAGCGGTCAATCAGATGCGGGGAGGTGAAACGGCCACAGCGAACACCACCCGTCGACAACAGGTGGGAGAGATAAGCGCTGATGGACCCTTTGCCATTGGTGCCAGCAATATGGATTGCCTTCCAAGTCAGCGGCGTCTGCTGGAGAAGGCGGACTATGCGACTAAGACCGAGCTCAATCATCCCTCCGAGTATGTGATGATTGATAGTTGATAAAGACCAATCCTCATGATCAGAGGAAAATGAGGGACGAGGTGGTCATGGAGGGGGAAAGTGTGTTATCTATTTGACCTCCAGAAAAGTTGCGCCGATCTGAGTTGCCCGCGGGATTCGGGCAAGATAATCATCGGGGAGCTGTCAGGTGCCGACCGATAAGGATTAATGCCTAAGGCATGAAGAGCCGAGGCCGGAAGCGGTCGTTACCGTACGTAATAAACCCCCGTCGGAGGGACAATAATCCAGGTAATTGGTATCAGTCTGGCAGAGTAACGCTGAGGGAGTATACTCGAAGTTGATCCATGGAAATAGTCAATCGCCTGCATTGTGATCAATGCCATTGTCAGTGAAACATTCAGTGGTCACGATTCATCTCAATTGACAAATCATTGATCTTTCACTCTTTCCTCCCTTCAGCCTTTAGGCGCTGTACCAGATTGTACGCGGATGATCATTAGGGCGCCACCACCGGTTCTCCCAGCCACCCAGAATCCCCCAATGTTTCCCTCAGGCCAACCCGCGGCGCTACGACCGCAAGCCTCAGGCGCGAAATCTCTTCGCCTCCGCTTTTTACCCTTACGAGGAAAACCAAATCTCGCCGTTTCTCCATCAACACATCGCCCTGGTCGCTGTCCCCGCAATCTGGCCCTCTCCATTTAAGGACTCGCGTCACTTCACGCTACTTCTGGATGCGGCTTCTTTCCTTGATCTCCCTTCTTGCCTGGACCGTCGCTCTTTATCCTTTCATTTCTCATCCCCTGTAGCCATGGGTATTCCGTGAGTCCACAATTTCTTACCCTACACAACTCTCGCCGCTGTCCGGATTCTACGCGCGACTCCGTCGGCCAAGAGCGCACGGAACGGCTGACATATCTGACTGACATGATGCAGACTGTTCTGCGAGTCCTCCGCAGATGCTCCGAAGAACAATCCTGTCAAAGACCCGTGTGCCACTGCGCGCTCCGCAATTCGTCGCCAGGCTAGTATTCGTCGTCCCTCGCGCTATGGCGGCTCCGCCTTGCGCAGCGCAACCCTCCGGTCGCCTTTCCCTCGTCCGCTAGTAGATGAGATTGAGCGTGAGGCGAATGGTCTTCAGCGTCATGTGCGCTCTCCGCTTTCGAACTCTAGCAGCGCCGACGACCCGTTCGACCTGGCCCGCGGCCTCCTGGATTCCGATAGACGCGAAGCCGGCCAGCGACTGCTGAGCGATGCGCTCCGTCATGGGCGGCCTGGTCAGCGATTGAGGATACCGCGCAGCTCGGCCCTGCCCGATCTATACAGTCGTCCATCGCCGGGTGATGACACAACCAACCGGCCTGACCAGACTCATCCCCAGTTCACACCGCGTTTTGCTCCTGCGATTGCATACCATAGGACTGCGTCTCCCCAAGCCCGCCCAGAAGCTGCTCGTCTATCCCATTTTCTTCGACCCGATGGTCTTGGAAGCGATATTTCGATCTCGGCGGGCTTCCCTACCCTGCGACGTGTTGGTGAACGATCGATCAATGAGGCGAACCGTCCCAACCGCGAGTCGGCTATTGATGGTCTTGGCGACCGACAGAGAAGTCTGAGTCCCGATGACGATCATGCCAACGTTGCATGGGAGACTCTCCTTACCACGATCACGCCGGATACCAATCTTCCTAGTGCTGATTCGTCCTTCACGTCCGCATCGGCTTCTGGCACGAATGCTTCGACCGTCGGGACATCCACAAGTTCGGCAACCTCGCTGCAGATGTCGAACCCTATGGATTCAGGCACGGGCACGGGCACTGTCCAGATGGTTCTTGATCCATACCCCGAGTTCTTAAATCCCTGTGACTATTCAAGCTCCAGCGATTCCGACAGCGATTCCGAAACAGGGATCTCTTCCAACGCACTGTTCCGCCGCTACCGTCGTGTTCGCCAGATGGAGTCACTGAGACGTGCTCAGCATCTCCAGTCAACCATGAGCAACCACCCTCCTATCCCTACCATCTCCTTTGCATTCTCCGATTCCTCTTCTACTTCTACCGATCCAGACCTGCAGCAGATGCAAGCCATCTTAGATCGACTTGCGCGTCGCGAGGATATCCCCGAAGAATGGTGGGCGGCAGCTGGACTGTCCCGCACCCTTGGCCGCCGGCTCGGCGCGAACGATGACACTAACGACACTGATAGCGTGGATGGACCGCTCAGGTCGAGGTGATCATGTACCTTTCTGTCACTGTGTTAGATACCGAGAATTTAGTTAATAGGTCATCTGGGGGATGCTTGTGGTTTCGAGTTGTTCTTAGCGGGGATCTCTTGTTTGGCGTTATGGTGTCTCAGCCAGGGTCAATCGGCTGAATCAGTTATGGACGGGAATTACCCATTATGAGATGGAATTGATCTAAAGTGCATATCCGGGAACATATTGTACTCATATAACCTGGCTTGTCTAATGTCATTTTGGTGTGATTTGATTAAGGTATTGGAAATAGTAGGAGTCGTATCAGCTTAGCCTGGGATGAGATACTTCAAGTCGCTGCTAGCCGTGGACATGTGACCTCATGCATTGACCAGTTGTTCCTTGAACAGCAGTGAGAACGGCATTTGAATATCCCACATAAGCATTACCATCTATGCTCCACCAGCCGGAATCTTGAGATACAAAAAAATACCCAAAAACATGACGAGTCTACTTCATCCACAGCCTACAAAGTATAACCACGCGGTGCCTGATAAGTTAGCCGGTCCCCTGTGACGTATCTCACTATCGCTGGCCCCGGCCGGAGTCAATGCGATCGCGAGCCCCCACTCTGACGACAAGCCCCGCCGACTTATTTATCCCATCGAGCCCGCCGTCGGAGCTTCTCGCTGTCTCCCAGAACTGCCATCCTCCTGTTTGTCGCCCATCACTCGGTACAGGTACCGAGGAAGTGTCTCTCCGATCTGGTTTCCCCATAGCAAATCTCTTCTAACTCCCATCCACCATCTTCCGCTCTTCAAAGCGTCCCAATCTTTGCATGCACGGGACCACGGATCTCTGTCCTTGAATCCATATAATACCTTCTCCCGTATCTATTCCCCCTATAAATAATACACACACCAATAATGGACGACCAAGTGAGCCGACTAGTCGATAAAATCTGGAGTAAGTCATCTATCTTTTCCCCGGACGAAGGAGGGCAACAATGCTCCGCAATCAGCACCCCATTACCCCCGCAAATACTAACCAGGTTTCCCCAGACAAATTCCAATCCACACCCAAAGACACCCGCCTATTAATCGCCATCAGCGGGATACCCGGCTCAGGCAAGACAGAACTGGCTACCATGATGGCCAACCGCATCAATCGGCGCTACCTAACGCAACACCCCGAATCACCACAAGTCGCAACCAACGTGCCCATGGACGGCTACCATCTAACACGGGCACAACTATCCGAGATGCCCGACCCGGCGTATGCCATCGCGCGCCGCGGCGCAGCATTCACCTTTGACGGGGAGAAGTTTCTGCAGCTGGTCCGGGCGCTGCGGGAGCAGGTGACGCCCGAGACCCAGAGTCTGTATGCACCGAGCTTTGATCATGCAGTAAAGGACCCAGTTGATGACGATATATTGATCCCGGCGTCGTGTCGGGTGATATTCTTCGAGGGGAATTACTTGAGTTTGAACAAGGAGCCGTGGAATCGCGCGGCGGAGTTGATGGATGAGTTGTGGTTTGTGGAGGTGGATTTCGAGGTTGCGAAGAACAGGTTAATTAGGAGGCATGTTAAGGCTGGAATTGCGAGGGATGAGGCAGAGGCGGAGAAGAGAGTCTTGGAGAATGATTTGGTCAATGGGAAGGAGATTGTTGATTATAGATTGGATTTGCAAGAGCTGGTTGTCAGTCGGTATGATCCTGCGTGGGATGCGTGAGTGGGACATTTGGGTGGATGGAGATTTTAGAGTTATAGACGTTGGTCAAGACTCGATACTTACTAGACTTATACTTATGATAACCCAAACACTTGGATATACGACATGCATGGAGAGATCCTTAGCTATTGAAGACTTGCATTGAATAAACATCGGAGAAAGAGTTTACTATCTCTTTAAAATCGAGCATCCTTGCACTGGTTAAACCATTTGAGTAGTATCGATACCGGCATCCTACCCCATATTCGAATGGCTACGTCTGCTCTATACATCTTTTGCCCCTACCAAACTTAGCCAAGAACAAGAATCACCCTTTAGTATCCTACCCCAACTCCCGGAAAATAGACTAGCTGGACGAAGTACACTCAATATCAATCGAGGGTTCTCGAGAGGGAAAAGTAACCTGGAACTCCCAACACAGCCCAGTCATACACCCCCTCGGGGAAATTCCAGACTTTATGAAAACTAAGCAACCCACTACCACGCTTGCTATATGCCTCCACGATGGGCAGATATACTCACCGATCCGAATCCACCCTGAAGCGCTACAGCCTGCAATAAAGTTGATATTTTAGGGAATATAACAGAAAAAGACATGCTTTTTCTGAAGAAATACACTTCCTAACCAGATCAATTTACCGTTGTATGTATGTATGTATGCGAACTCTCCCTTATGCACCTAGCTACAAGCAACCCTGCAGCACCAGCATACACACACATATGTATCATATCACTTTCCCTGATATTAGCATTACCTGCTTAATTGCCATATTGAATGTCGAAACCAAGGCTGCAAAGCAGTGTTACAGTTTGTATTGCATTTGCCGCAAGGGCAGATGCAGAGGATCCCTTCCCTAGTCGTTAAATGTCTACTGAAATTAGACTATTGTTGAGACTTGCTGCTTATGATTATTACGGGCTTTTGAGGGTTTAGGGTGAAAGATCCTTCCTAGAAATAGTGCAACCTGTTCGTATGTTATGAAATTGGCCTTGAGGATCATACTTGATCTACCTTCAGAAGCTGCAGCTTGTTCGGATGTAGGCCGGCTCCTTACCTGGGACTCATTATATAGGTGAGGATGTTGTCATTGTGAGTTTGTATTTGCTTTTTAAGTGATAATTATTGGTCACTTGGTATTGCTAATGTTGCGACTATTGCGTTGAGGGGTATGGTGGACATTTAGCTATTTACTGTGGAAGATAGTAAAGATGATACATCGACTTAGTAATGGAGTTTTTGGGGCACTTCGAAGGAGCATGCCCATCAGATACAAACCCAGTATCTATTCATGACTACAAATATATCCATCAGTAAATATTATTCATGTCCACTAGGAAGGATAGGAGTGAGGCCCGGGCGCTAGCCGAGCTGGTCCCTGGCGGACTCCACCCGAGTCTTCGGGCCATTGGCCAAGACTTCCAACTCCCGGCAGCGAAATGAAGGATGGATCGGCAGGGTCGATGCCTCATGGGGCGGAGTGGTCTGGCCTCACTCTCCTTTATATTAGTACGCTGGTCACTCTTATCCTCCCTAGTCACTTCTCCATAGACAATTTTAGCTTCTCAGCAGACTCTCTTTTACTGTAGTTGCATTACATCCAGCCAATGCTTGGATAGTCGTTCGTTGTTACGTTCTTTTGTTGCCTTTCTCATAACCGATTCTCAGATGCTTGTTACTTGAGCTCTGAGAGCTCGATAGCATCATGTTGTTCGCTCATTTTGCTTTCCTCGTCTCATTCCTGGTCTTTGGAGGCCTCAGCGTAGCTACACAGACCCCGCCATGTTTGGTGTCTGCCATGAGGTATAACTGTGACAGCCAGATCGCTGTACTTTGTTTGGTCGCCTGCTAACCTAGTATAGGTCTCAATCGGATTCTGATAACCTCCAAGATATTTGTGCGACGAATGTAGGCAACCTTTGGGCCAAGATCGTGGAGTTTTGCGGGGATGAGAGACAATTGGCTCTGGAGCAGTTAAAAGACACCTGCACATCTGCAGGTTACGCAATTGGTATGTTTTGAACTTGAATGACGCTTTGCCAAAGATGAGAGACATTTGACTCTACTTATGCAGCATACCTACCAACAACCTCGTCCGGCATCGCATCCCATTCCACCGCTCTTTTCAGCCCGACCAAGCCTAGCTCCGTCATAGCTAGTTCAACCAGCATCTCCACTTCGAGCTCTGTCCCCGATATCAGCTCTAGTGCTTGTCCCAGCACGCATCCTAACCAGACTATTTCGTTGGGATCGGCTGACCGTGGCGCGTCTGCTGCTGCGTTTGCGGCCGTTGTTTTTGTCGGATTTGCAGCGACGTTATAGATTCAGTTAGTCCGCTTCGTATATTATCTCAGACAAGGCTCCGAACCCTTGGACATCAATGATGTTGAGTACATATTGGGCGCAGACCGCGTCACTTTAACCGCGTCTTCTCCACCGGTGTAGGCATCCGTAGGCAGCTCTCCGAAACCCGCTGGGAGGCGGAAAGCTCATACGTAATATATCCTAGTGGGGCTTAGGTTGCATGGGAATCATGATGGTACGTAGTCGAAGGTCGGCGGAAACCATATCCTGCAAACGGATATACGGTGTCCGAGGCTCGGAGCTGATTTGTAAGAAGCCCGGCAGTTGCTGAGGGACGTGGCGTGAACTTGAAAGAAAACTCACACGTGACTGCGCTCGTCGCGCGTTCCCGCTAGCCGGACAAAGATTGGCGGCGCACCAGTCAGCGGGCTCGTATGCAAAGGGCAACCCATTTAGTCCAAACACGAAAATTCGCGTGGATATCCACCGTAACGCGTTTGCCCCGGCGACATCAAATATCTCTCCTCCCAACTTTCTGCCCCTCCGTCTTCTCTTTCCTCTCATCTCTCATCCTCCCCTCAGCTCCTGTCTCCAGGACATTCTTTCTGTGACGATTTCTCCTCTCAATCCTCTCCTATACATATCCAAGCCTTCTTTTCTCTCTACTACCCTAATATTATTTCCATATACCCTTTGTTCTAGTTTCTTTTCTCGTTGTCTATAACCTCACTGTCCAAAATGTTTGTCTACAAGAGAGGTCAGTACGAGTTGCACAAGATTCCCTGCTTTGGGTGGAATGGATGCCCGTTGATTGAGCGGAATGGACCTTGCCACCCTTGCAACCGTCAGTGCTAACTTTGAATACAGACGGACGCAAAGAACGCGTGCAGTTCGACAAGATCACTGCTCGTGTGTCGAGGCTGTGTTACGGACTCGACCCTGAGCACGTCGATGCCGCTGCCATTACCCAGAAGGTCATCTCTGGTGTCTACCAGGGTGTCACAACCGTTGAACTCGATAACCTGGTAGGTTTGCAGCCGCTACATTTGGCAGAGCAAGTGCTGATAATTCGACTTAGGCTGCCGAAACTGCTGCGTACATGACTGTCACACACCCTGATTACGCCATTCTCGCTGCCCGTATCGCCGTTTCCAACCTCCACAAGCAGACCAAGAAGCAGTTCTCTTTGGTCATCTCAGATCTCTACCACTATGTCAACCCCAAAAACAATGCTCCTGCACCAATGATATCAAAGGAGACATACGAAATAATTATGAAACATGCCGACGAACTCAACTCGGCTATTGTATACGACCGTGATTTCAACTACAACTTCTTCGGTTTCAAGACGTTGGAGCGGTCATACCTGTTGAGGATCAACGGAAAGGTAGCCGAGCGTCCCCAGCACCTGCTGATGCGTGTTGCCGTTGGTATCCACGGCAGCGACATCGAAAAGGCCATCGAGACCTACAACTTGATGTCTCAGAAGTACTTCACCCACGCCTCCCCGACTCTGTTCAACGCTGGTACTCCCCAGCCCCAGCTCGCCTCTTGCTTCCTCGTCGACATGAAGGAGGACAGCATTGACGGTATCTACGACACTCTGAAGACTTGCGCTATGATCTCCAAGACGGCTGGTGGTATCGGTCTGAACGTGCACCGCATCCGTTCTACTGGCTCCTACATTGGTGGTACCAACGGTACCTCCAACGGTCTTGTTCCTATGCTTCGCGTCTTCAACAACACTGCCAGATACGTTGACCAGGGTGGCAACAAGCGTCCCGGTGCTTTCGCCATCTACCTTGAGCCCTGGCACTCGGATGTCTTCGAGTTCCTGGATCTCCGTAAGAACCACGGTAAGGAGGAGGTCAGAGCCCGTGATCTGTTCTACGCCCTGTGGACCCCGGATCTGTTCATGAAGCGTGTTGAGGCGAACGGTGACTGGACTCTGTTCTGCCCCAACGAAGCCCCTGGCTTGGCTGATGTCTACGGTGATGAGTTCGACGCTCTCTACGAGAAGTAAGTTTGTCGGTTTGTGTATCGTCGACTCGTGCTAACAGTATTGTAGGTATGAGAAAGAAGGCCGTGGCCGTCGTACCATCAAGGCTCAGAAGCTGTGGTACGCTATTCTGGAGGCTCAGACCGAGACTGGTAACCCCTTCATGCTGTACAAGGATGCTTGCAACAAGAAGAGCAACCAGAAGAACCTCGGAACCATCCGTAGCTCCAACCTCTGCACTGAGATCATTGAGTACAGTGCTCCGGATGAGGTTGCTGTCTGTAACCTTGCGTCTCTTGCTCTGCCTACTTTCGTCGACGCTGCTCGCGGCGAGTATGACTTTGGCAAGCTCCACGAGGTTGTCCAGGTCTTGGTCCGTAACCTGAACAAGATCATCGACATCAACTACTACCCCGTCCCGGAGGCCAAGAAGTCCAACTTCCGTCACCGTCCCATTGCTCTGGGTGTCAACGGTCTGGCTGATGCTTTCCTCGCTCTGCGCCTGCCCTTCGACTCCGCCGAGGCCAGACAGCTGAACATCCAGATCTTCGAAACCATCTACCACGCTGGTTTGACCGCCTCGTCTGATCTTGCCAAGGAGTTCGGAACTTACGAGACCTACGAGGGATCTCCTGTCTCCCAGGGTATCCTTCAGTACGACATGTGGGACCGCACTCCCACTGACCTCTGGGACTGGGATTCCCTCAAGGCCAAGATTGCCCAGACTGGTGTCCGCAACAGCTTGCTGGTCGCTCCCATGCCCACTGCCAGTACCAGTCAGATCTTGGGCTTCAACGAGTGCTTCGAGCCTTACACCTCCAACATCTACTCCCGCCGTGTCTTGGCTGGTGAGTTCCAGGTGGTCAACCCCTGGCTGCTGAAGGACCTGGTCGATCTCGGCCTGTGGTCGGACAACATGAAGAACCGCATCATTGCCGAGGGTGGTTCCGTCCAGAACATCCCCAACATCCCCAGTGACATCAAGGCGCTGTACAAGACGGTGTGGGAGATCTCCCAGCGCACAATCCTGCAGATGGCCGCGGACCGTGGTGCGTTCATTGACCAGTCTCAGTCCCTCAACATCCACCTGAAGGAGCCCACCATGGGCAAGATCACCAGCATGCACTTTGCCGGCTGGAAGATGGGTCTGAAGACGGGCATGTACTACCTGCGCACAATGGCCGCCTCTGCGCCCATTCAGTTCACCGTCGACCAGGAGCAGCTCAAGGTCGAGGACACCAACGTGGCCCGCACCAATGCCGCGTACAAGAAGCGGGCTGTTGGCGCTGCCTCCAGCACGTACTCTGCTGTTCCCCGTGGCCAGGCCCCGGTCAACGGACACAGCGAGAACGGTCTCAACGGTGTCAACGGCTCCACCAACGGCAGCCCTCGGGCTCTTGCTGCTGATGCCTCCGCTCAGGAGAACGGCCCTCAGGAGGAGGACAGCCAGCAGGAGAGCGAAGAGCGCGAGAATGACATCTACTCGCAGCAGGTGCTCCAGTGCAGCATTGAGAACAAGGAGGCATGCATTATGTGCCAGGGTTAAGCACATACCTCGTGTTCTTTCCTTGTCTGATCTGGTCCGGTTTGATTGATAGTCTTGGCGTCAGGGTTGTAATTATATCACGAGATTGATGGATACTTTTTGCTTCTTGCGCATGGTTTATGGGAAATGACTGTATTTACTGTTATGGTTTTCTTTCGGTATAGGATTTATTTGACTACATTATATTATATTATATTCATTCTTGAGTAGCTAGCCTATTAGCCTATACCAACTTTACGGATGATTTAATGATCCCCCGCCTGATCGGGCATATAATCCTTAGCCGTCTGCTTGGTCTTGTCCATGCCCTCGTTGGCCTTGTTCTTGGCGTCTTGGGCGTACTGGGAGGCATCGGAGTCTATACCAGCAGAGTATCTCCGTTAGCATTACTCCGGTTTCCCCTCCTCAAATTTCCCTAGTCAATAAATAACAAAAGGAAAGAAATCGACATACTCTGCTGCTGCCCCATCATCTGGTTATAGTAATCCTGGCCCTTGTTCTTGGCGGATTCGAGGTTCTTCTTGATGGAGTCCATTTTGTTTCAAACTTTCTATTTTCCATTGGTCAGTTAGCATTCTTTTCATCCTCTGTGAAGATAGATGGAGGAGGTGTGTATGCATACGAATAACTCGTAAATATCACCTAAAAGTCCAGAATACAATTAATTTCTTTTCTTGCCTTGGGAGTAATAGAATGGTTAATGAAATAGTTCAGTGGAGGTGTATGTAGGTATCATCTTATATATGGTATTCATGGGATGACAGATGAATCATAGACTTTTCTCCTATGACGTTGATTCGAGTCTAGAAGATTAGTGGTAGAAAAGGCTATCTTGGACTATTATCTATGTAGATGGGTCTTGTGGTGGATGTCAGAGATGAGTTTATTGTTGTCTGGTTGAATCGGAAGTGTCGGTTCCATGGGTGAGGAGGGAAAAGGGAAGGGTAAGGGAAAGGATGTGTGGGTGTGAGGGTGTGGGTTGGGTGACATCTTCGACTTTTCTTCTATTTCGTACTTCACCTATCTAATTTTGCTTTCGCTATGAATTCATAGCATTAAGATGATTTAATCTTGAATGGTCATATTTTTCCGTTAATGGGTTGACTGGTGAGTTACTAGTTAGCTAACTAGTCACTTACTACTAGTGAGGTAACTCAGCTATTAACTCATTACCATAAGTCATGTAACAACAACGTTAAGTAGTTAGGTCTAGATCTCTAACATTTAACGAACTACAAGACCCAAACCCAGTCAGATCTTAGTCATATCGGGCCGTTTCAGTACGAAGTTAGCTACTTCTGTAACCAACCGGTTAACGTAGTGATGTTCTCTTAACTCAAGTGTAGCATACCCCTGCAAGCGCCAATCCAACACCCTTAGAAACCGAGTAATTAATTAATTAATTTATCTTTGGGGGCTATACCCCCCTGTTTCCTGTGAATGTACATGAAATCACGATTGAGAGCTTGGCGAATTCTTATCTTGACTGACTGACTGACTAACTACTTACTACCCTGTTGAATGGGGTGTATATGTGTATAGATGGAATGGTTGGTTAGTATTCACTACTACCTACTGAGTATGCCGTATATACCTGAAGGAAGTAGGAATATGTCCTAATTACTACTTCACCTAACTATCTCATTAGTAGCTGCTACAAGGAATGGGTTATATTATCCAACCCAACTCCGAGAATCCAACAACTTTATGAACGGGTACCTGCGCCTACCAACAACACTATTCTCATCCTCATCCTTTTCATCATCCTTCATAGCTACCATAATAGGAGTTTAGCTTACTCGCAGCATATTTGTCCCCACGAGTATCTGCACCTAACCGAGGCCGAACGAGGCTGAGTTGAGTAACATTGGGGGCTAGCTTGTTTGACCATTGCGGTAGATCTGGGGGCTGCAAGTTGAGCTGAGCTGAGCTGAGCTGAGCTCCTTTCCTACTTAGTAGATGTTGGAACTCTAATGATAACAGGTTGAACTGTGTATTAGATTAGTATTAGGTAGTATTCGGTGGTGGTTATGCTATATCTGGTAGTCGTGTCTGGGTTGTGTTGGTTTCAGGGTCTTTGTTATTTCTATAGTCTGTAGTAGATTCCTGTATGCTATATAGTCTAGATGGCGATGGTAAGGATTGTGTTGTATGTTGTGTGTCATTAATTAATTTGGGGGTTGTTTTGTTACGATGTGATTGTTGGTGGTGGTGGTGGTGGTGGTGGTGGTGGTATGGATGTGCATGTTTACTTGCACAGTATGGGTGGTCGGACATACTTCTGAGTAAGATACTCTGTGAAATACTTCGGGTAGGACGATCGGAATGGTGATTGGAATGGAGAATTTGATAAAAATGATCGGTGGAATGCGGAAATATAGTCCGCTTCATTTTTATCAATGCTGCATTCAATCAATGTTGATCTTTATTAATGATGTAATGTACAGTAAATATATTCTGTACGCGACTGGATAGAGGGGTAAAATCTAAAGTATCAGCACTACACATCATAAGTCAGTGTAGATAGTAGATACACCGTAGTACTCGGTGGAGGATCAAGCCACGCGAGTGACGGATGAAACGGACGATGGAGCCCTGCGATAGAGTCCGGTTGGCTGGCTTGGCGTCTCGCCTGGTATTCAGATTTCAGATCCATCAGATGGATCTGACTGTTAACTGTGCGAAAGCACCATTGAGTGTTTCAAATCTACCAGTGGCGTTCGTCCCAAGGATTGGACTGCCTAGACCACACTAGTAGTTTAGCGGCGCGAAAAGAAAGACCAAAACAATCGAATAAGACAGTCGTTTTGCGAATGGACGCGGCTGGACTGTCCTGCAGTAGCCCACCGGTAGGGCAAAAAAGTCAGATCAGGGCAACATCCCTGCCACTAATGATGGTTCCCCTCTTTTCCTCCCACCACACGAAGTATGGACTGTGTACAAAGCGAAGGGGAGATGCTGCTGACGAGATGTGACTGGTCGGTGCCTGGATGTGCGACACGTCAACTTGGTCTTCAATAGGCCGTGTTCCCTTTGATGGGCTCCAAGACCCGCCGAGTTCGCCACATCAACATTCGGCCCGGTGAAACCTGAACCTGAACCTGAACAGATGACGGCACCTGATTGTTGTAGTTTCAGTCCCGTCCAGCCTAGTCTAGTTCGACTTTTTGTGTGTATTCGGCAAAGACCATTTAGTATTCTCGTGTCGAGTGGCTTAGTGGTCAGGCACCGCCCATTTCCCTCCTTTTGGGCGGAACGACCCAAGGATTGCCACGCTGATCCCCCTGAAGGAAGCGGAAAAGAGAGCCCTGCAGGCAACATGACCGCACGCTTCCAGCTGAAAGGCGGTTTCTCCCAATTTCCCCAACCAAAAAGTCAGTGCAGGCAAGGAACGGTAGAGCGTGGCTGAACTAACGCACCAGCAGACTACTCAAAAGTCAATCCGAAGAACAACTGCCCACTCTGGCCCCAGTTCAGCCAGTAAGAGGTGTCTGTGCCATCCAGGCACGGCTTGGTGAGACACTGGCGTCAATGCGAACCGCCAATCAGCCAAACTACTGGGCCTGACCCCGAGGATTCCGATCAGACCATGCCAGATTGGTGTGTGCCTGGAAGGAGAGTATTTTTTTTACTTTCTTTTCGTGTTCTTTATTTGCTTCTTTCAAGGTAACAGCTGTAAGATGAGATGGCTGCGTCAGGTACGAGGGAGAGCACCCCAATCAGACCGAGGAGGATGCTGCGCTGGTTCCGGGCCGCGCCCGACCACTGCCGACCATGGAGGACGAGATTGCCCTGGGAAGACCGGTGAGGGTCGGGCAGTGAAGGGCTTAACGGGCATTGGCGGAGATCGAGGGTTCACGAGCTGTTGGCGGTGGGGGGAGGAAAGAAAGAAAGAGTGTGGGTCTGGGGGGTCAAAAAAGTAATTGGACTAAGTGGAGTCTAGGCTTCATTCATGAGAAAGCGAGATTGAGAAACAGAGACTGAGGGAGAGGAAGATGGATTCTTTGGTGTTGTTACTTGTTGGTGCGGTGGATCCCGACGGTGATTCACCCATACCAATTGGTACCATACACACCATACATCCATCCATCCATACATACATACATACATACCACTGGCTCCAATTCCAATACAAATACTCTGCCTCTCCCTCCTTCGTTTCTCACCTGCTTCTTTCCCTCTCCTCTTCCACCTCACAGTCCGTCCTCTCTTTGACGCTCGGTCATTCCTTCTTTCCACCCTCATTCCTTGGGTTTTTTTGCTCTATACTGCTGTGCAGTACGCATTCCTTAGACTCCTCTGTCGACCAGAGCATCAATCCTTCCAAAAGAAAACAGTGACCCTACAATTGTCAACCAAAAGCAAATCACTCCACTAAACAACCACCACAATCCTATATCAAACAACTCACATCCATTACAATGGCCCCTCTTTCCAAGTCTCTCGCCCTGGCTGGCACTCTCTTTGCCGCCTTTGGCTCTGCTGCTCCTGTTGAGAAGCGCTCAACCGAAGTTGTTTACCAGACCGTCACCTCCGTCGTCTGGACCACTGTCGACGTGACCACCACCATCTACGGCGCTGCCCCTACCGAATCCGCTGCTGCTAGCGCTACCCCCGAATCTCAATACCAGTTGCCCGGCAACAGCCAGCCTGAGCAATCCGTCAACTACCAGCCCTCTTCCTTCACTACCTCCACCTCCACCGCTTGGGGCGCTGCTTGGACCCCCGAGCCCGCATCCTCCACCACTTCGACTTCCACCAGTGAGTGGGAACCCGCCTGGACTCCTGCCCCCACCAGCTCCAGCTCCACCAGTGAATGGGAGCCTGCCTGGACTCCTTCCACTACCAGCCAAGAGCCCGCCTGGACCCCCTCCACCACCACCGTTCCCGCTGCGGCCACCACCTCGGCCTCCAGCTCCAGCTCCAGCTCCAGCTCCAGCTCCAGCGGCAGCAGCAGTGGCTACTCCGGTAGCTGCTCCTCCGAGTCTCCTTGCACGGGTGATCTGACCTACTACGTGGCTGGACTGGGATCTTGCGGCATCACCAGCAACGGCAACACCGACATGGTGGTTGCGCTTCCCCATGGCATCATGCAAGACAGCGACTGCGGCAAGACCGTGAAGATCACCTACAACGGTGTGACCGACTACGGCACCGTCTGGGACAAGTGCATGGGCTGTGACGATGTGTCGATCGACCTGTCGGAGAAGCTGTTCAAGAAGTTCGGTACCGAGGCCGAGGGACGCCTGACGGGCGCGGAGTGGTACATTGAGTAGATGGCCGGGATGGAACGGAATTATTTTACCCTTCTTGTCACTCGTTGATTGACTGATTTAGATATGATGATTTTGATTTCTTGTTTATACCTTAGCACACACACACACATTCTTTAGATTGTCCTGGGGACGAATCTATCTGCAGTATGACTGACGTGTATGTATCACGATTAAAATTACTAAGAGAAAGAAGAAGAACAAGACTGTTGAACCTGTCTTAGCCAACTTGCCAGAGCGCTTTCTTCCACTCCCATATCCGTAGGAATAGCCTCATCGTCATCCCCCCTTTTAGACTGACAATCCTGTCCCCTCAGCCGACAAATCTCCTTCTCCCGACACCCCCTCCCACAAACTAAGACATCATACCCCCTAGTCCGTCTCGCCCAATACTGGTTGAACACATTCCAATTCGTCTCCATAACATCCGTCAGCTTCGCCCAGAAGTGCGGTCCAATGCCAGCAGCAGCAGCACCGCCCCCAGCCTCCGCCCCAGCACCAATGCCATTAGTACCGGTACCAGCCCCATTAGGATAGACATACTTTCCGTAAGCTTCCATAGCAGAGTAATACCTGACCCATTGCGGTTCTACCTCACCATTGATACTATCATCACCATCCCCCTGAAGACCATGTATAAACGGAGGGAATCTCGCAACATACTCCTCAAAATCCAATACCTTCCACCCACCACAGCTAAACTGCACATCATACACCCTAAAAGCCGAATACCCCGACGTAGGCGTCATCGCCGGCGCCATCATCTCCACGCCTATCACTACTTCTTCCCTTTCCCCTTTCTCCACTGTCACCTCGTTGTTGTTGTTGTTGTTGTTGTTCTCCACAGTGATCTTCCTTTGCCGGTGCCGGTGCCGTTGCCCCTGATTCTCATGACTATCACTATCACTATCACTACTAACATTACCAGCACTCCCATTACTAATACCAGAAGAATAAGAACGATAAAACACCCCAAACGTATCAACATGTCCATGTCCACAGAACACACCCACGATCGTATCCTTAAACCGAACCAGTATTCTCCGCAGGGCATCAGCATACGCAGGTAAAGTATCTTTACTCGAGATAGGGATATGCGTTATCAGAAGGACTTGAAGTCCTTCTTGTTGTTCCGCGGTGTGGAGCTCGCTGATCAGCCACGTGAACTGGGCCATGGGGTCAACTGGCATGGGAGTCGTGTAGAGGAGGAGGTTGAGACGGTAGTAGAGGTTGCTGTTGTAGGAGATAATTTCTATTTTTATTTTCGGGTTTGGTTCTGGTTCTTGTTCTTGTTCTTGTGTGGGTGATGTGGGTGGGAGGGTAGTAGTATATGTTGTTGCGTATGCGCCGGATCTAGTAGTTCTTAAAGTAGGGTTGTTTTGGAGTGTTCTCCAGTCGGTGGTTAGTGCGGTGTAGGTCCATTCTACATTTACTAGTTCTTTTGGGATATTTGCATCCCCTGGGAAGATGTTTACGGGGTGGGTGTCGTGGTTTCCGATGGCCGCGTAGATTGGGTTGTTGTTGTTTAGTAGGGTGTGAAGGGCGGAGTTGGTCTCGTTGAAGCTTGCTAGTACTGATTCCTGGCTTGTGTTCCAGATGTCGTGGGCGACGATATCGCCGGTGAACAGGGTTAGGTGTGGTTGTTGTGATTGTAGTGTGGAGAGCATGTTGTGTAGTAGTCGTAGTGGGGGATCGCAGTGTGGGCTTCCCCAGGTTGAGCATGGGTTTTTGGACCGGCCTGGGGCATCGTAGGCGTGGTATTGGCGGCAGCAGATGGGTTTGCGGCAGTGGGTGCTCGTGCCCGGGGTGTATTGGAGGTCGACGTGGGTGTCGGTGATGTGGGCGATTCGGAGGGTTATATTGTTATCTTGGTTATTATCGTTGGTGGTAGTGGTGATAGGGGAATATAGTGGTGGAGGAGGGAAGGTCAGGTTGATAGGAGGAATCGGCGGATACGGACACAAATCCAACACGCTGGCACAAAAGGTTTGCGCGGTGTCTGATGGAATGGACAGTTGACGAAGCACATAGTATGCGCTGGGGACTTGGGAAGCTATGAGTCCGGTGCAGAAGTCGGCGTCGAGGATCTGGGAGGATAAGATTAGTGAAAATGTCCGAGGTGGAGACGGTAGTATAGTATTTATTATTTTACCTTGCTTAAAATGCATACTTCGGTGAGGATGGTCTGGAGGGTCGATGGACCGAGTTGAGATGCTTGTTGAAGTGATTTGAGCAGCGTCTAGTATGGGCGCAGATCAGCGTGGTCCATGACAATTTGGATGAACAGTCAGTCAGTCACCTCGCAGGCAGTGCAGCTGGTCGCAGCTTGAATGTCGTGCCAGATGATCTGGGTCCAGGTTGGCGCTGGGGTGGCGGTCGCTAGGACGGCCAACAGAAAGGCGGGTTTCATGAGAAGATACTGCATCGAGGGACTGACTGACTGCTGCTGTTGCTGCTGGTCGGGGTTTTATGGCCTGGCGATGGCCGGGCGTCGAATTGGGACATTTCGATGGGCTCCATGTGATGCTGGGCGGGAGTCAGCAGAGCAGAAAGTACTCAGAAATTGAGTTGGTGGATGATACTCAAAGTTGTTTAAGGTACTTGGCAGATGCAGATGCGATGCAGCCATTATCAGTAGCAATATTGGGCAGTTAGGGTTTTGGGAAGGTCGGGGATAATGAATAGTTGAAGAAATAGTGGGAGAAGAGAAGAAGTAAGTTTAACGGATAGTTATTATCCCATGCATCTCCCGTCCCCTGCAGTATACCCAATTGATTGATGGTATACTGTTGATACCCCTTTCATATTCCTTTGCTCACTATCTAATTATTTACGGGCATTTCTGCATACTCCATGCAAGATAGACGACCACCATGCAATTTAGCCTGCATTTCAGGCCGGCTGGCTGAGGAACTGGAATGTCCAGCACATCTCCAAGACCATCCAAGAATGGCTGCGAACAGCTTCAATCTTGGCGCAACACGCGAGGAGCCGCCGATCGTCGGCTCTGCTATTTGGATCATCCCAATAAACCGTATTCCTGGATCCTTTGAACAACATAAAACATAATATCATCACCAACTAGTTAATTTCATGCTATTATCTAATCCGGGGGACCCACGCACACAAAAGAAAAGAAAAAGAAAAAAAGAACTGGGACTTTGTTAGTATTAGTATTAGTATTTTTTAGTTTTAACCTTTCCAGGCTTGACTTGACATTCTCTTCTTTCTCTTGTCTCCGCTTCCCCTCAATTTCTGCATCCACTTTTCCCTTTCTTCACCTCATCTCTTTTCCACCATTTTACTCACACAATCTCTCTCTCTCTCTCCACTATAACCTCTCCCTCTTTGATCTTCCTATATATCGTCTCCAAGATCATGCTTTGATCCGATCATGGCCCGACCTCCCTGTCCCCCCTCGTCTTCCCTCTTCGCCCTTGTCGCCCCAACTTCGTCATGCAAGACCAACGGCCCGAGGTTCTCACCGTCTCCATCGTCTTCTTCGTCATCGCAACTGTCTTCGTGGCCCTGCGCTTTATCTCCCGTATTTTTATTGTCCAGAAGGTCGCCCTCCATGACTATTTGATGCTCTTGGCCTGGGTACGTTTATTTAATTCTCTTCCCCGTCTGCTCTCTCGTCTCTTGAGTCAGCTCCTTATTCTCCGATCTTCCCGCAGGTCCTCGACTTCGGCTTCTCCTTCTCCCTCTTCTATGCCACCCACCAAGGTCTAGGTCTGCACGATTCCGATATTCGCGAGGACCAGCGCGCCGGCCTCAATCGCGCCGACTATGCCTTCACCGTCCTCTACGTGAGTCGCCCCGGGACTCCTTCCTCCGCCATCGCTCCCCTCTGACTGCCCCAGAACCCGGCCCTCATGGCCGTCAAAACATCCATCCTGGTCTTCTACCTAACCCTCACCCAAGGCGAGAAGGTCTTTCGCTTGGCCAACTACGTTACCCTTTTCGTCGTCAATGCCGCCGGTCTCGCCCTGACCCTCGTCAATGTCTTCCAATGCCGTCCCGTCAGCGCTGCCGTTTCCTATCCCTTGCCTGAGGGTGCCAAGTGCATCGACATCCTGACTCTATACCTGTCCTCGTCGCCGGTCAACATTGTCACCGATCTGGCCATTCTCTTCCTGCCCAATCCCATTCTTACGCAAATGCGACTGCCGCGCAAACAAAAGATCATCCTCGTCATCACCTTCAGTTTTGGATTCTTTGTCGCCGTCGTCGACGTCATTCGCATTGCCTACATTCAAGATGCGGCCACTTCACGTCAGATCGCGTTGAAACAAGTCCATCTGCAGGATACTCCGGGCGATGACCTCAGCTGTACGTCCCCTGTCCTTTCTTTCTCCCTATTTCCTGCTGATCGCCCCAGGGTACGGGGCATTTTCGTTTATGTGGTCCGTCATCGAAGTCAACGTTTCCGTCATCTGTGCCTGTGTGCCCAGTCTCAAGCCGCTCGTCGCGCGACTCATCCCGAAGCTGATCCGTGACACTGACGGGAGCTCCCAGGCCACAGACCTTCCCCTGCCCGCCCCGGATCCTCCACCGGAGCTCCCGACCATCACCGGGCCTCCTACCGCGCGGCGCGCGTCGCGCTCACAGCAGTCGTCCGCCATCCAGGACAATAAGCCGTCGCATTCGGAGAGCCACAGCAGTCAGGCCGCTTCGGCCCGGGTGGATCTGGCCGATATGTTGATCACAGCGCCCGAGGCGCCTCCGGATGTCGAGAACCGAACGAACACCGTTACCACCACCACGTCGTATCCGCCCAGCATCACCTTTTTCGATTTTGTCAATATGAAGAAGCCGGCCAACATGTTGAAGCTGAGCAACAAGGAGTCCATCGCGCCGATCGCGCTGACGACCATATTGTTCTTCCTCTGGGGATTTGCCTATGGCTTGCTGGCTATCCTGAATGAGCAGATCCAAGATATCCTGGGTCTGGACATCTGGCAGTCGTTTGGTCTCCATGCGGTCTACTTTGGGGGGTATCTCGTGGCGCCGACGTTTGTGGGGGGCGTTGTGTTGAAGCGCTGGGGGTTCAAGTGCACCTTCATCACCGGGCTGTGCATCTACGCCTGCGGCACTCTGGTCTTCTGGCCGTCAGCCGTGCTAACATCGTACCCTGGTTTCATCGTGTCCAATTTTATTGTGGGCAGTGGACTGGCGGTGCTCGAGACGGCCGCCAATCCGTTCATTGCGCTATGTGGACCGCTCGAAAACTCGGAGATTCGGCTGAACATCTCGCAGGGCGTGCAGGCGATCGGCAGCGTCGTGTCGCAGCTGCTAGCCAAGAAGGTCCTATTCAAAGCTGTAACCGACGTGAGCACGCTAGTTGACGTGCAGTGGACGTACTTGGGCATCGCGCTGTTCGATGTGCTCCTCGCTCTCGCCTTCTATTACCTGCCTATTCCAGAGGCATCAGACGAGGATCTCGAGGAATTGGCCAACCGCCGCCGCGCCGACAACCGGGCCACTGTCGCCGGCGTCCCCGTGGTCTGGCTGACACTGGGGCTCGGCGTGTGGTCTCAGTTTTTCTATTGTGCCGGCCAAGAAGTGATATCGATGAGCTTCGACAGCTACATCCGCGCCGTGCACCCGCTGTCCTACCTCAGTCCCTTTGAACAGCTCACGGTCGCGCACACGGTGTTCGCGATCGGCCGCTTTCTCGCTGCCTTTTTGCAATGGTTCCTCAAACCCCGCTGGATACTTATGCTCTCTTACATCGGCATGATTCTCTTCTCCATCCTGTGCATGAAAATGACCGGGCGGGCCGCCGAGGCCATGGCTATGATGGTGTACCTGTTCGAGAGCGGCGCATTCAGCATTATCTTCGCCATCTCACTCCGCGGCACCGGCCGACACACCAAGACTGCGACCGTACTGCTCACAGTGGCCATCAGCGGCGGTGCCTTCTTCCCATTCGCGCAGTACGCAGCCGAGCTGGTAGGCGGGATCCGCTATTCCTACTGCGTGCTGGTGGCGCTATTCAGCGCGGGCGCCATCTTCCCCATTTACCTCAACGTAGTACCGGCAGCCAAGAAACAAGTGGACCCGGTACCAAACGAGCACCTGCGGCACCCCCGCCGGCGCAGTCGCATCAAAGCCAACGTGATGGCGCGCGAAAAGGAGAACCCATCGGTGGGTGGGGTCCTCTCGCGCCGGCGCAGCGTAGTGTCGGAGCCGTTGCCGACGGTGCAGCTAGCCGACCACACGAAGCAGACGTCGGGGGGATTGATACCTGAATTGGCGCCATGGCCAGAGCAGCAGGGGGGAGAGCGTGCGGAGCGGGGCTGATTAACCTTTTCTTTCTCATCTTTTCTTTCTACTATACCATTGTTGTTTTTGACTATCTCTACGGGAGGAGATTTGCCATGATACCCTATACTTTTGGATTGTGTTTTAGCGTGGAGTTGGCTGTTGCATTGCTGGAGTTCTGTACATATATACTTGCATATATAGCGAACTAGCTATTTGAAGTAGTTAGAGCATTCATTAATACTGACATTATACCCATTGTTGATGAATAGTAATCAGAGAGATAATGTAGTAGGCCAGCGACAAGTAGTAACAACACTACTCTACTACCTACGATTTACCTCATAGTACAACATAGTAAATACACCCGAGATATACAATCTACTCAATAAGTAAGTACTAATTCGTCCACCTCTTTTCTCATCTGCCTAGTAATTCAATACTACAAGTAGCAAATATGCAAGCATAATCACTCATCACTTCAGGGTTATTTGTGCGTGTTTTTCTCCACTAACCAACCAACCAACCAACCAACTAATTCGTCTTACATATACACTTAAGTAGTGAATGAATGAGTGAGTGTCCTAGTTCGGAAAGGGAAGAAAAGAAAAGAAAAAGGCAACGTTCATCATAAGTCGCAGGGAGGAGTGAGTGTTCCGAACATAACTTTCCCTGTTTGATAGTAGGTAAATAAGATAGATGCCCTGTGGTCTTGACGCCAGGTGAGCGGCATATCTCTCTCTTCCATAGCCCAATTAATCATAAGCAGTCTTGGGGGAAGAGTAACGAACGGTCTTGGGAGGCATTTTTTTTTTCTCGTGAGGGGATCAGGAGAGAGCATACATAATCAGACTAACGAACTTTGCCGTCATATGAAAGAGTACGATCGTGAACTGCATTGTTTTCCGTAATTGTCTTCCCAGCTAATCACTAGTCAATCAGGACCTAAGAAAAAGAGCTGTCATTAGAATGAGGAACTGGGCATTTGGCTGAATTCATGGTCATCCAGTGTGAATGAATATGGGTTAAGGTAATTTTAACATGACTCGTGAGTTGTATTATATTCATGATGGCAATGTATGTATATGCTCGTATCTAGATGCTCGGCCAAGATGTGATAGGAGGACGAATAACCTAATAGACTAAGTACTACTAGTAAATGCGGTTCCATGGGCTTGTGCATATAGTGGGACTATGATGCATGCGTCAAGCATTAGTGATGATAGTGAGTTTTGAGAATGTTTGTCTACGGTTACGATAGTATCTGCAACTACAGAATTTATGGATTATGGATGGAAAAGGATATCATTATGCATCCATCTAAAACTACCAAAACACCGGCGCCTCTATCCATCGCGCTGAAAGGGAACATCAAACTACATAATCGTCATGACATAAGCCGTGGGGTCGGCTTTCGCATTTACCACCAGTCACCGTGGTCCTTCATGGCGGCAGCCACCTTGGTGAAACCGGCAATGTTGGATCCGGTCACCAGGGAAGGCAGGACACCCTCGGCGGGGGTGGCGTACTCCTGAGCAGTCTCGAGACCGTTCTTGAAGCAGTCGCGCATGATGTCCTTGAGACGGGCATCAACCTCCTCAGCAGTCCAGCTGAGGCGGGCAGAGTTCTGAGCCATCTCCAGACCGGAGACAGCGACACCACCGGCGTTGGCGGCCTTACCGGGGGCGTACCAGATGGCAGCAGCGCCGGAGTTGGCGGTACGGTGGGCCTCGAAGGTATCGATGGCCTCCTGAGTGCAACCCATGTTGGAACCCTCGGCGATGAACTTGCAGCCAGCGTTGATGAGAGCCTGGGCCTCCTCGCCGGAAACCTCGTTCTGGGTGGCGGAGGGAAGAGCGACGTCGACCTTGCCGACGTGAACCCAGGGGCGGGCACCGGCAATGTACTTGAACTTGTTGGCGTCGCTGAAGGGAGCAGCACCGACGATGCTGGCGAGCTGCTTGCGCTCAACCTTGGTCTGAGCAATGAGCTCGATCTCCTCGGGGGTGAAGCTACCCTCGCCGTTGATGATGAGGGAGCCCTGGCTGTCGCTCAGGGAGACGACGGAACCGCCAAGCTCGATGACCTTGAGGGCGGCGTACTGGGCAACGTTACCGGAACCGGAGATGGCAACGCGCTTGCCCTTGAAGGACTCCTGGCCGTTGGTGGCGTGAGCAATCATGTGCTCGACGTACTGTTACTGTTAGTACTGTATTCGAACACTTATTATGGAAGGGATAAGACATACGTAGACAACACCGTAACCGGTGGCCTCAGGGCGGATGAGGGAACCACCCCAGCTGCCACCCTTACCGGTGAGAACACCCTCCCACTGGTTGCGGATCTTGCGGTACTGGCCGAAGAGGAAACCGATCTCACGACCGGTGACACCAATGTCACCAGCGGGAACGTCAGTGTCGGCACCGATGTGCTTGCAGAGCTCGGTCATGAAGGAAACACAGAAGCGACGGATCTCGTTGTCGGACTTGCCCTTGGGGTCGAAGTCGGAACCACCCTTACCACCACCCATGTTCAAGCCAGTGAGAGCATTCTTGAAGATCTGCTCGAAACCAAGGAACTTGAGGATGGACAAGTTGACGGAGGGGTGGAAACGGAGACCACCCTTGTAGGGACCGAGGGCGCTGTTGAACTGGACACGGAAACCGCGGTTGACCTGGACGTTGCCGGCATCATCCTCCCAGACGACACGGAACTGGATGACACGCTCGGGGACGGAGACGACGGCGAGAGCCTTGCGGTATTCGGGGTTCTTCTGGAAGAGGGTGGAGTTCTCAAGGGTCGAGGCAAGCTCTGTAGAGAATTGCTGTTAGATTTTTTATTTATTTCCCTCTTTACTTTCGGAAGGAGGAACAATTGAACATACCCTTGTAGGCCTGCTCGAACTCGGGCTCGTGAGGAAGGTTAGACATTTTGAAGGGAGGATTGATTGAGAGAACTTTTTAACTGGGGTATCTAGAAAACAGGAATATATAGAGAAAGATGGAAAGAAAGAGAAGTAGTCTGAAGAAGAAAGAGAGAAGGGAGAGGGAGAAAAGAAGAAGAAGATGGCGAGGGGGAAAGGCCGATTTATGTTTTCGAGGAGGGGAGGGGCGAGGGCGGGGAGAGAGTCAGAATAGAGGGAGTGGATAGTATGAGAGGGAGAACAGCCGGAGTCGGACATAAAGTCCCCCCTCCCTCAGGCCATCCACTGTATAGTAAGTAGTCTAGGGAGTCTCCGCTGCAGGCGGGCATTTCCTGGCAACGCCCCGAACGGCAAATGATGCCGGCTTCCGGGGCGGGTTTAACGGTGGCGCCGAAGTTCGGGCTGTTAGTCGATACTTTGAGGTCACAGAATCTGTCCGTTATCTATCGGCGGGAATCCGCTGGCCCGCCCGCCAATGGCAGTTGCCCGCTCTGCCATCGGGAGGAATCGGGTGGCAACGGAAGTATTAGGGTAGGGTAGGGTAGGATTTTTTAATTGCTTTCGAAGCGAGAGAGAAAATTCTTCTCTTCATTATTATGAGCCATTGGTACAAGCCAGACAAGACTTCTTTTCCCTCGGAATCCATTAGTTAGGCTGTTTTTTTTCTATAGTATAAGCAACACGCCGTCGCAATCTAGACTTTGCTGGAATCTGGAGAGAAACTCGCATTTGCCTGCGCGCCAAGAGATCCTGCAGACTGACGGATCACCTGATTACTTCTCTCCTATTGGCTTGGTTCCCCCCGCTGCACGGGAGGTGCTTATCAGATGTCCGGATTTCCTTTACCTACTCGTATCGTCAAATCCTCTGCACTCAGCCAATACAACCTCATCTTCCCTCTCTTTCCCCCTTCACTCTGTCTATCTATTTCCCCTCGTCACCCCCTCCCCGGAGATCACTCCTCCGAAATTAGGACCCTATACAACTTACACAGACACGTTGCCTTCTCTCCCCATGTTCCCCGGTGAGCCCCGACGTGGGGGAAATGGGCGGCACTCACGGTGGTTCCCATACTTTAAAGCGTTGTCACGGTCGGACACGGTTCACTGGGCGGTCTGATCATGCGACCACCATGGGGAGTTCACCGGTGAGCCTTATTAAGTCTAAGTAGGTTTCTCATAGGAGGGAATACAGGAATACACTTGGTTGCCAACCAGTCCAGGCGATGTCGGTGTCACATCACTGTCCCATTAGATTTAATCTTCTGCCTACAATGCTTGGAAATAGTGACTGGTAGGTAGAGAATGATTGCAGTGTCGGGAACTTCTCTTGGATGAGTTTCTTGGAATTGGAGGTCCCCGATGCATGTGAATTCTTGTAATCAAATAATTGAAACATGGGAGATTCAATCAAGAAGAGTATAACCAAACAAACTGGTTGTAATGGTTTCTATATTGAATTATGATTATTCAACCATTGAATTAGACTTACTCGATGCATTTACATAGTCACTCAAGGTAGTAGCATAGTCACTTGCAAATGTGGTAGCGCCGGGTTGCCGTTGCATGTCAAAGTTTCCCGACCCAACATGGAGTGGGACCCGGTTTTGCCTATCAGTTGCCTCGCTAGTCCCTGCCGTGATGCCCCGGACCAATCAGCAGTTCACACTAACAAAGCATCACGATTCACACGCCGGCTCTTGCTCTCCCCACATCCCGGAATGCTAGTTGGAAGATCGCCAAGCGGACTAATGCATCCTCCCCCAACTCTGATATACTTCGAGGGGCGCAGGTTTGTAATGATGCTTGATGGGTCATTATCATATTGATTGGGTGGAAGTGAGAGGAAAAAGTTAATTGTGCCATTGTGGGGGCTGCGTGGGTTTGGGGGTGACTCGGTTCGGGAAAGTTTAAGTGCCGGGGATGGTTCGCTGGTTGGCCTGGTTCGGATCTGGGGTGCTGTTCATGGTGTATCTGGTTCAGATGATCTATTTGCTCCATATGGGGTTGATGATGAAGAGATGTGGCTATTAGCAGGATTAACTTTTGATTGTTGTCTGTGCTGTCCGTGATGCATGTGTATGTAACTATGTATGGGTGAATCCGATTCCTTCCGTAGTCCCTCTATGTGGTGGATGAATGCCCCAAGAGTCAGGCATTCAACCACCAGTCTATCAATGAGGATGATGAATCCTCGATCATTTACTGCTTCAATTGCATTTTGATATTGAATATTTCAACCAAGTAGGTGTATAAAAACTCCATTTCCTCCCACTGCTCTCTCCTCTTCTCCATCTCCATCCCCTTCAAGATCCGGACTCTATATGAGATCCTCAACCACAGAACGGACTATCACCCTATAACCCTACTTTATATACTCTATATACTCCCCGTCTATACTTGTTCTATCAACACTCCATTATAATCTTCCTACATTGATCACGCGATCCACTTGCCTAGAGACTACGAAGACAGACAGCCAAAGAATGGAACATCCTGCCACAGTCGAGCAGCCTTGTCCTAAATTCACAAACCGAGCCAGAAGAATAAATATATACGGCATACCATCCTGCGTATGAAAGGCCTTGGGATAATTCCTCGAGAGAAAAACCTCGATATGACCGAAGACCTTGTTTCTACTCGCTCATCACCCATGACCAAGTTGAATCTTGCATGTACCAGAGGAGAGATAGCCAAATATTCAACAAGCCCATCGGGTATATTTAGGCCGAGGAGGAGGTAGAGGATTCGACATATCATATCGACCATGTTGGGTATGTTCACTATAAAAGTAATCATACTTACTCTGGTACGTATCCCAATGGTATACAAAGCTACAAACTTGATGGTGCAATCACTAATGGGAAATCGTATGATATAGTATATATCCTAGCTCCTGAAACCAATGAAGAACTTGATCTGTGGTTGTGGCTGGGATAGTGGAAATACCACTGCTAAGCACATCCTCATGAAAGGGGATCATTCCTACTCCGAATCTGGGACGTGATTCAATGAGGCAGGATACAGGACCCTAAAGGGGCCCCTGATAAAGATGCACAGCCACTATCATACAGAAAAGTCATCTCGACAGAAAAGGCTTAACCCTAGCCACTGAAGATCTCGATACCAATCTTCACACGGTCGGACAACCCCGATAGCATTCGCCCGAGACATAAGGGGAAGACACTTTCGTCCCCTTCATTCGTCCAGCTTACTGGCCAGAAATCTCAGGAAAGATGGAGTTAATTTTTCCACTTTCAACAGCAAGAGCAGCTTTGTGGCTTGCGGACATCGAAAAGCTCAGAGAATTTTCTCAATACTCGGGGGATAGTCTCGGATAACGCTTGCTGGGTATCGAATCATTAAGGATTTTTGAGAATTCACCTACTTTGCTTTCTACCAGCATTCTGGTTCTTGATGGTAATGGTAACCCAGCATCGCCTCCAAACATGCCACTCGTCTGGATTCCCATTCGATAATAGCATCAACCTGCTGGATGATAAAATACCTTGGTCAGATACTTCCCGACGTGAATATATATTTATATACAACCGCAGGCACGTCTCAAACTATCTCCGATGATTGTTCGATGCAAACCCCAGCCCTAGAAGGCACATGTCATCCTCCGAGAGATGAATGGCCCTTCTGGAAGACACTCTGGACTACCCTGTACAGTTTCCAAGCCTGGCAAGACATTGGCTACAGCATCCAAAATATCTAACAAGCATGATCCGAGACTAGATGTACGTCTTCGCAATTCCATCTCCTGGAAATAATCAGTCCCTGGATTCATATGACATAGAATTGCTCAGGGAGACACGACAATGCCTGCTCGCTAGGAGAACTCTCAGCTAGCCACGCGTATAAAATATATACATCGCCATGAAAGAAATATTGAAAGAGGCCAGTTCAAGATGGCTTAACCATCTCAGACAAGCCAACGGTCCCCGAAGATCTCCGGCGCCTAACTGTATCCACGGCACGAACAGATGAGTTGCTTCAAGAGGTCACAGATCCTCATCTGAGAGCCTATAAAGGATCATCCGAAGGAGGACCGAGCGAGCGGCCGTTTGGAGAGTTAGATGAGACTCTTCGACGGTTCTTAGCCTCACTTGACGAAGAGTCCGACCATGATAACCAGTTACCTACTACCGATCTATTCAAAATTAACCAAATCAAACCGGTAGCCATCACCAACTCTTTCACGATAAAGACACTATCTTAATGTCAAAAATTCCAGACAACCTGGTCGGTATCAAAGTTCGCTTTTATTAAGCGGGTAACCCGATGAGGTTAGCAAAGACATCGGATGAAACATCAGATAACCAGACGTCAACACAGAGCAGTTCATACCAGACATAACGTCCTGGACAAACTATTCAGCGTTGGATGACGAGAATTCGAACAAAAACCCTCGCAGTCAGACGAGGAGGGAAACGAAGTATCTCCGGCTGCAGAGGCAGCGACGTCGTGGGCTGCGATGAACACAGTAAACCCGGACGTTGGGATTGAGTGACAGTTGTCCGGTGGCAAAGATAGGCTTGAGGACAGCCAGGAAAATCCCACCTCTCGCTCGAAAGCATTACCCTCGCCAGGCGGAAGATTCCGAGATACAGCGTCGACAATGGAATAACCCGGTATGTTCCGTCGAGCTAGTACCTTGCCTTGCCCTATAAGAGAAGCATATCTTGGCCGCCCAACCACCAGAGAGCATATGGACTGCGAGTAATTCTCTCCAAGTGAGCGCTTCTCTAGAGATCGATGGGATATCCCTAGCCTTTGAGGAATTGACTTCCTGCTACATATGTGGTTGTGGTTTCCGTCGGCTACTGGAGGGGCAGCATCAATGACGAGCAAATTGTAAATATTGCTCTTGAGAGAGCGACTACTCTCATAGAATGCGGCTTTGGTGGTATCAGTGGCCAACTCTTGGTCCGGCTTGCTCCTTATGGGATTTCTCTCGGACAATACTGTTACCTTAGGATGGGGCAAGGTCTTACGGGAGCACCCGGTACCTACAGTCGCCTCAAGGACATTGCCATGGGGCGTATTCCTGAACCTAACGGAGAGCCGGGATTATGTGAGTCAGTACAGTGACTAGATACTATCCACTGTGTGCTTATTTTTTACCTATAGAACAACAAGCACCACAACCATGTTCAACTCGTCCAGAAAACACGAGCTAACACAACGATCTTCTCGCTCTGCTACCACTTCTGTATCGGTAAGCCCTGCAAAGTTGGAATCTACATCGGTACAACAGGCACCTCCTCGCGCGGACTGACGCTTACCCGCGCCGCACACTTAATCTTGATGGAGACCGACTGGTGCAGTACGAACCACAAACAGGTATTTGGCCGGTGCCATCGGATCGGTCAGAGAGCTAGTCGTGTTCGCATATGTCTTCCAAAATACCCAAATTGAATGCGAGCAACTTGCCCTCGAGAAGCATTTAGCACGATTAGCACTGGGAAAGATATTAGACTCTACAACCGAAAATGAACAACTATTCACCCCCCCGGGGGGTCCCCGCAGCATCAGCGAACCGCAGAATCGAGAAAGACAGTGGGAAGGATTGACTCATCAACAGAACAACCTATTGGAAAATGATGTAAAATAAAGCGAGCAAATGAGAGCCATGAAGAACTCATGACTATTACACCCATACCTGCACAGTGGATACCTATCGCACCACTTCTTAAACACCTATCTTCGGAGTCTGCTGCAGACATTACCGTATTCCGAAAGTGAAGACCCCAGGTGTCTTGTCCTCGTCGATACTTCTTTGAACCGGTAAACATGAATCATTATTCTCCCAGCATCTGGTCCAGGCTGGATCGTTTCTGCGTTGACATCAATCTACAAAGATGTTAATGTTGTATGATGCTTTGCCTCAAACGTTTGCAAACGTTTGTCTTGGTTAGCAGCAACGAAAGAGAAGAAAATCTCTACAAGCAAAACGCCTCAATGGTTTTGAAACTGCTATGGCAAAAACTAAATAGACGTGTGACATTAGCTTTTCACACAATGTCCGATTCTTCGTTGACCTTTTGCGCATTAGGGATGTCTGTGTCTGCATGACCGCCATGTCTAGTTATCATACTACCCGCGCGATGTGGACGAGGTTGATCCCTTCTGGAGAATACAGCGCATATTACGGGTATTATCGACCTGGATCATGCTCAGCAAGACTCAAAAGACCTGAGATCCATATGCGATGGTTGGCGAAAACAACGACAAATTGTCAGAGAATGCGACATGTCTCCCGTCAGAGCATCACGTCCACCGATCATGGTGATAGGGTTCCCGGCCGATTGGCCATCACGTGTGACTATCGAAGCGGCTTGAAACATGCATAATCGCACTTAGGAAAACTCAATCCTAACGATAATGAAGTCGAAAGGTGACCTACGCTTCTCCTCATTCATGATATACCTATGCATCTCTCACTGTCGAACATCGACCACCCGTTGCTACCGGGGTTCCAGCGATACGCCCGCCAACAGGGCGCAAAATTTGGACGAGGAGAAGCAACAGGAGTTCTGAGTCTGTTCACTATGTGCTTGTTTCTCGTGCCCTGATATATGGTCAAGAGTTAAAAGTACTGGCGATGTGGCCGCTGATAGCAAAAATATCGTCATGCACATCGCCATGTAAAGCTCCCCCTGATGGGGTATTCCAGATACCAGCGATCTCTATATATATGGTATCAAGCTGTACGAAGCACGGACATATGTTTCACGAACATAAAATTGACAATCTGAAGTCTCAGCCAACATCGTTGTTCCGCACCATCTCTTCGAGGAACGATCAAGCAGCTGTGTCCAACCGGTTACTACTTTCCCATATTTCGGCAACTTTCTTCATCTGGGTATACCCAATATGGGAAAGTCAACTGCTTGGCGGACGACTGAGGCATTGCCTGCGGTCCCTGTTGCTACTAATATTGGCAGAGCAACGACAATCTGAATAGTGCACTTTGGCTCCGTCTTTTGCTGCGGCACCTGCCCCTGCTGTCGCGGTAAGTTATTTTTTCCCGAGGGTGCACGCGCGAGACTATAACAAGAAGCCTCTGTTGCCTGAGGTGGGCTTCACTCCTGTTACCTCTATGCAAGGGCAAAACGGTGATTCTTTCGAATGTGTTAGCCGCCCCAGTCACCGAGGGTGCTTGGGTTCGCGGACCACGCCCGTCTCCCGCGGGCACTCCTAAGGCTTAGTGAGATCGTTCTGTCGCGCAGTGGGTGAAAATCGCAGTCTGGGATTTTACGTCCCAGTTCGTGGATCTGCCTGCGGCGAGCTGGCTCGCCAGAATGTCCGCGGAGCACCCAGCCGTGTTGCCAGGACTTCCTCTTTGGAGAGGGCAGCAGCCCCTCTTGGGCCGAGAACGCCGCTGGATTGCGGAACCGGTTCTACGTTCGGTGCCCTTCTCATGCCCCAGTATCAGGTTATCGGGTCGTGAAAATCTCCAGGCATTGGTGCCTCGCCCTACAATTGAATCTAGAAGCCACAGCCAACTTCATCGTCGGGACAGATAACAAGTCACAAAAAGCAGTTTGAAGCTCTCGACTGTGTTCTGGGAAAGGCCCGAACAAGATGTGAGCATGTCTCACTATGTTCAACCCAGAGGCCTATGCTGAGGCCGCTCCGCAAAGACGAATCCAAGCGGTGACGAAAATGGTCCGTGGGCTGCGAATATATCTTTCATCCTATCTCGTTGAAGCAACTTAGGGAGGTGGTCTACTTATGGCTGGGTATGAACGTTAGCTTATTTCTTACACCTCTCTACAATGTAGCCCCAAGCGGCTACTATCCTTGCGCCATCCGTCGGTTGTTCGGTTTATACCCTTGAGCTGGTGTCCCTGTCGAGAAAGTCTCGTGCAGATCATATATCTACGTTGTGTGCATGTCCTGCATCGGCATATCTCTCAGGAACTGGTCGGAACACCACTCAACAAGCATCGAAGAATGTCTCGAGACCCAATCTTGTTGCTGTTGTCCCCATTGAACATTCAGTGCCAGGATGGACCTACCAGCAGAAAAATTGCAATGGACACATGGGGTATCACATTTACCTGCCATGCGAATGGTCTGGACCTAGACATTCAATGCACAGAAGTGGCTGCTTGAAGTTTGCCGTTGTCAACCCCTATCGTTTACATCTCTTTACATCTTCGGTCTATGTTAACTGGAAAATGCAACCTGCGTGCTCCAGGTGCCGCGGCAGAATGGCAGCTGGTATTGTGCTCGCATTAGTTTAGCATCTATACCAGCTGTCCGGGGGCCTTTGTGCAGGGCCACGTAAAGACGCGGACGATGCTCTTACGATGTGCTCTACAGCCGCTGAAATTCTTATGCAGCAGCAACCTTGCGAGATACAACATTCTTACACGAAGATGAAACTTCATTCTGTTTATTATATCTTTTGATAAATGCCAGAAGCAACCCTTGACCAAGCGCAAACAGGTAACGAATCTATTGTGTGCCTGCTTATGGTCGATGCATGCTCGTCGATAGGATAACAGGAAATAAATGCGGTATGGATATGGATATGGACAATAATTGGCCGAGAGGAATTGAGATTCTGTCCAAGCATCACATGGATTCAACTATTCTGCTTTGACAGTTAATCGTTCGTTCCAGGAAGGACACAGAAATAATCTGTCTCATTGGCATGACTGTGCATATGCAACCTTAATCTGGCGTCCAACAACAACTCCATTACTAGAAGGACCTACCCACGAAGCTCACTGGTGTTCCCAAATATATATCATGTTCCACTCTTGGAAATAGCACCTCCTACTTACTACATCTATCTACCCCATATATGGTGTAGAGCGAGAGTCCTTCACCCACTAGTAGCCCATGAAACGGCAGGCGAACGTCCTTGTAACCAACATTCGCCAGGTTCATATCTATATTCATGAAGTCATCGTGGTGGAAGCCATGCGGTCTTCGAAATCAACCTTACATTAACAGAGCGACTATATCAGAGAATTCAGGTCTGTCCAAAGAAGCGATAGATGCTGGAGAGAACATATGCGTTGCGGACGAACACAAAATGAAGCCAGAGGATACAACCCGCCCACAACGTTTGCTTCATCTATCTCCAAATACCTTCGTCCCGTTTCTAGGGTTTCTTCTGGCTATGATGATCCCTACAAGATCTCCTACGCAATGGTCTTCTCATCGTCTTCCTGGGCGAGGGCTTACCTTTCGACCACAATATTGTCGGCAATGGAAATTCGAGAATGTTTCGTTCGAGGGATACAGATCTGCGAGGCACTCATTGAATGTGCCACAAACCACACAGACTATGTACGGAGTTGCAGCACTTCCCGTTGGCGACAGACACAATACTTGCTTCGCCACAGATTCATAAAGTCTACCTGGGAGACTACTGATTCTCTGTCTATCCGGGACTAGACACGTGTTGTCAACAGACCTGAATGACATGCAGCACTGCATATCTTCTGTGGCTCCTCGGACCACTGCCGGCTGCGCTTTTTCTATACATATAAATGGATGCATTAGTCTAGCAAGATGATGTTCAGTAAGGAATGTGACCGTGACTGGTGATGTCCAGAGCGAACGTTTCAGGGCAGCGACTACGACAGGCCTTGGAAGGTCGATTTCCAATCTTGCAAGCCTGACAGATCAGATCTATCTGAGCGATGATGAAAATATAAGCCAGTGTACACAACTTGAAAAATTGAGCATGGCGCGGCGCATCGCATATGGAATCTGTTTCATTCGTCTTCCAGCAGAGATTGTCCTTATGTTTCCTGGCCTGCTTGCCACAGCATGGCCTAACGCAGGTCGTGCTAGTGTGCAAGAATTGGTACGAGAGGTGGTTTTCAAGTGGTATAAACTCATGCTAAGTAGAATTGACCTACTATGGTTGAGGACTGAGGAAATGCGAGGAACTAGCCACATGTGCTACAAGTTCTCCTTGGCTTTATACTCGTTTGTTGCCCTTCCCAGCACAGGATGACCTGGCACCGGTCTTTTAATTATCCAAGGCTTTGTATGAGATATGGTTGAAGAAGATACGAACCCGTGCGTTGCTGCGGTTGGGGGTTCGAACTTCACACTATCCTCTGCTTTGCAAAGGAAGAACAGGCCAAGTTGGCAGCAGAGGACAGGGTGACTTTATCACCCTTTCTATAATGTCAATACCAATCTGGTTTTGACTACAAATGTCCTCTATCGGTTTGTTTCAGGTACACTGGCTGAGACAGTAACCGTCAGGATTTAATCAGGAGACTCATACTTCGCAGTCGTCTTCGGGCAAAACTAGCAGATAGCAGAGGGTCGAGTCTATGGAAAGACTGCAGATTCATCAAAGGATTGCGGAAGGAGTCTGCCCGTGGCACCCTTACCGTGTACTATGCTGACCGACGAGACGCAACCGGAGACCGTCCAACCCTGACAAAGGTTATCCAGCTAGCCCAGGAACTCACTGGGGAGGCAAGCAAAGAAGACGAGGAAGCTGTCCGTACCAGCAATGATCGCCTTGCGGATACCCTGGATGCTATCGTACAACGGATTTCAGAATTCCCCATAAACATGGGTAGCCACATGGCCTCCCTCTATATTTACCCCTTTGGGAATGATACTGCCAGAAAGGCGAGTGCTTGAGCAGTGATGAATGGGTATCCAGACACCTGAAAATACATCGTGGTAGCAGTTCAGAAGTTACTGGCATAAGAACTCTCTTGTCGCTATCAGGGCACTGTGTTAAAGAGATGCTGTAGGAGAGCTGAAGACAGCGGCGTTCCGCGTTCCGATTACCCAAAGTTCAGCATCTTCAATGAGCGTTGGTGTTAGGGAACGTATTGTTGTCCGCTGCTTATAACATCGAAGCAACTCCCCGGTACGGGGGTGATGGTACCGCAAAGATATTGGGATGTTTCATCACATCCTCCCGCAGACCATGAATGACAATAACTGCGCAGCTCGGTTGAGACAGCTACTGAAACATCTTATGATCAGAAGAATCACCGCCTGGGAAGTACCGATCGGCTCTAAGCATACCATTGGACGTGACATCCCGCCTATGGTGAGGAAGGTATATGAAGAACCATTTACTCTAGAGCTTGAGACATACGATACATGGCCATGCTGCAGTTAGCTGCCTTTGCTAGGGTCTACGAAACCGGCGACAATGAGTTTAGCCAGTTCATCCATGAGCGAGTCTCACTGGGTCAACGACACAGTCACTATGAACAGTCCACTTTCTCAGTATTTTGGTATAGAGCCCAGCCAGAGATCGGGAGCGGTGTTTGTTTCCTTGTACATGTGAACGCTGCCTTGATGGCGGTGGTTCAGCGGAATGGAATGAGGTATGCTACTTTGTTCATCAGTCTACCATCAAACACATTGCGCAGGGTCTATTCCAAAGACTAGTTGACGCATTATATCTGTGTTGGAGAGGACTCGTTCGAGGGCTATGACTTATTGTTTCCATGCCTCGCTTATATAGCATTGTCGAGCCCTGTTCCTATCATGCTCGTAAGCTTCGAAGCCCGAAGTACATATTTTAACGAACATGATTATTTGACATCGCAGGGGAAATTAAAAAGCTTCACACGCGAGCTATTATGGCCGTTCCACTTGACAAAACCTGGCATTATCAATTTGCTTCCGTACTGCCAACAAGAATGGAGATGATCTGGACAGTCCAGCCCGCTCGATCTGCACCGTCCATTAAAGAGCTAATAAACCGCACGGTTGCAGATACACCCGTCTATTATCCTTGGCTCTTTGGCCAACGTCGTTCACCGGGCGAGGTGTCGAAGAACCATGATCCGGTTAGAGATTGGCTTGAGAACACCTCGCAGCAGTGCTTCAAAACCCTTTCTGTCCATGATCGCGAGCAGCAAGATGGCGCGCGTGGCACTGACGGTTCGGACGATTCAGGCGCATCAGATTCTCCAGCTTATTGTCTAATTCAATAGATACTCATGACCATTCTGACTGTGCTGACCTCGAGATGGATTGAAATTGCGATGTAATAAGCTTGCGCCAACCTCTATACCAGGCCTGATGATACCCCCTGCAGACATGACACAGACCTCCTCATCTGATGTCCCTGCCGACTGAGCACACCAAATTATATACTCTCCAAAATCCGCCGGGTATTACTATACCTTTGTGAAAGCCTTCTTTCTTAAAAACTGGATCAGGGAGTGGGAGTTGACTGTTAATCCCAATGATTCCTATGAGGCTGTCCACAAACGGAATATATTCATTGTGGATAAAGAGAACAACGAGCGAGCCCTTTATATCCGCGTAATAGTCGTGCTCCAGGGATATATAAAGACTCGCCAATTAAATATCCCCGACCTGGGAGGAATGGGTAGAATGTGGGAATCAGTTCCAGCAGGTCGTATTGAATGGTGGACGACCCTCGCCATCACGAAGGCCACCCGCGAGCTTGACCAGAGAGACATGAGTCCAGCAGAGGAGGAGTGGCGTCAGCTAATGGAATATTTTGCGCATGATGACTGCAGCCGCCTCGTGGTTCTTACCACCACCGGGAGCTATGAGTGATGTTTTGTTCTCTATGTCACACTATCATATCAGCACACACAGAGAAAGAATAAGAAAACTTTTCTTCAGATTTCTGTTATTCAGTGCCATTGAATCCTGGTAGCCCGGATATTTCGGAATGAGTGTTACACAAGCTTTCATAACTCATCACCTATTGTCAGACAGCTACAGGTGTTAGCAGAGTATTAGGGCCCCGCCCACTAGTTCCTGTCAGTAATATCCTGCCTGAGTTCGCCAAGGAACATGGCGGCGTTTATACAGCTGATTAAGACAGTGGAGTGGTGCAATGATCTGTGCACTCGCGATAATGACACTAAAGCCCTGATGTAGATTACAGAATATACCAGTGCACTGGGCCTGAGATCCCTGAGCTTAACAAGGTCTTATTACACCTTGGTGTCTTCTTATTGCACATTAACTTCCTCAAGTGGTTGCAGAAAACTGTTTGGTTCAGCCAGCACTGCCTTACATAGTAGGCCGCTGGTGTAAGTTGCCAGGAGTTGTGGCCAGTTGCATAACAGTTCCCAATGGTTGCTGACTAAAATGATTGCAGGAGTTACTGAAACTCAATTCCGAAGACAACTGGAGAGACTGGTTACTGTCCGACTTAGTCAAACCTTACTGGCTCGAACTTTGGGACTATCTGGAACTTCTGAACTGAAAATAGAGAAAGTTAATACTTCATTCTTGTCAAATAACCAGACTCTGATATAGGAAATATACAACACCCACCGCGGTGGTATCCAGCCAGCCTTGGACATGTATCACGCCCGGAATAGAAACATAAATATAGTTTTTCAGTCCAGACTCAAGAGCATGACACAGGCCCTCTATATTAATACAATCTTTCCTGGGCTCCTCCATCTCCTGCGGAAGAATAACTGGTGGTTACTTGATAATCCTAGCACACAAGATTATTTGGATACGGAGGGGGTCACATCAGATAATGAGGAGAGCTGGTTGGCCTGCAACATCAATGCTGTAATCAAGGAGTCTTCCCGCTAGAAGAAAGTCCGGGAGATCATCGAGAACATGGACAAGGAAGAAGAAAGCGGCGCCCCCCGCAAACACTACATATATCAGTGCTCTGTCTCTGCTGATTGTTTTTATGTTCTTCAGACTGTCAATGACAACAGACATATAGATGAAACAGCTCTGGTGAGGAGGTAACGAAGAGATATCTATCTCTTTCAAGAGAGCTCTGGAAGGTCTCCGCGACACCGAGTAATAGTGAGGCCAAGACAGATACAGAAAGGTTCAGCAGTCATCCTGGTTTGGCAAGACTACAGCCATCAAGTACTATGGAATGGAATTATATACACACGTTAAGGGATCGGAGCAGCATACACCATGCCAATAACCAGTTAACTAGATCTATCAAATACACAGTATCAATCATTATCTATTAAATCAGATTAGTAAAATAGACAGATCCGATACATCAATACCGGATAACAGTAACGTAAGTTATGTACCCTTGTCAGATACAGCAGTGGGGTAATAATACATCCGTAATCCGAGACGGCTCCGGCGTTAATACCATGTGGATTTTTGTCTTCTCGTCTCAAAGGTACATCGTCGTCGCTATACACGAAGTATACTTGAGAATCATGGTCTCATTGTCTACGACTTGTAGTTAAGATCATACCTTAATTGAAATTTGATAGATTATATATACTATCTCACATAATTCATCATCATAGTAACAATACTGTTTCCCAAATTCTCATCCACACAAACCAACAACGCAGCCACAGCATACCTCCCATAGTATCCGACAACCTGCTATAACCAGTCCATTCTAGTCTAGTCTAACCTAGCCCCAACCTACCCTAACCCAACTCCCACTCCACTTCCCATCCCCCCCGTAGTCAGTTATAGTAAGTTCCCACTTCTCCCCCCCTCTCCCACCGATGACCGAGTCCAGTCCAGTCTCCGTCCCCGCCCTTCAGCCGCGCCACAAACTACCACTCCCGGCATCCCCATCGAAAACTCCAGAAGAAGTTTATTCATTCATAGCGGCTTCCCCCTATCCCTACATCTACCTATTTACTTCTCTGTAACTAACAAAACTAGTTCGCGCTCAGTCCTGTTTCATACTAGTTGGGTTGGTTTCGGGATTTGGAAACCTCTCACATACATACGTACATATATAGCATAAGTAGCATACATATGAGTTAATTAATTTTGCGTTGTGTTATTAGGGAGTCTTTGTTCGTACGCAACCAAGCAGAACTAACATACTACACCTCGGTAGTTAGTTAGGTAGTATGTGATTTAGTAAAATAAGAAAGAGAAAGACTTGGCTCAGCCAGCCATCACATCACATCACATCAGCCCCATTTTCAACGACAATATGACGGTAAGTTCACACTCCGGTGAATTTCTTTTTCCCACGGTCGATAAGTTCAAATGTGGAGATGAAGGTTGGATGGATGGTGGTTGAAGCGGGTATATCGGATCGAAGATGGAGGGATGCCCTACCTTCCTTACTGGGCGAAATCTTCGTTGTCTCCCTCGCATCGTGGTACATACTAATCTTGGTACGACCGTTGATTGATTTGCTTGGTAAGCCATTCATCATTAACGGAAATGGATAGTTGATCTAGTTAAGTATTTGCAGGTAGAGATGTAGCCGTACCATATCGGGAGTTCCGCTGGATAGATAGACTAGATAGTTACTGTGATAGGTAGTGAGGAACCGGTGGGGCGGGTCTCGGTCGGGTTCATCGGCAATCGTGGATATAACTATAACAAAAATTTATATACGGAGTAGTTACTTACTTCGTGTTATGTGAAGTAGAGGGATAGTTCGGATGTAGGTGACTATCTTATGTTCTACAGGAGAGGATGATGATCTCCGGGCTAATGTCGCGGTCCGTCGGATGGCGTTGGTGTCAGGGGTGGCGCCGTTTCAGGCATCAGAGGTTCGAAAAAAAGGGCTCGGCTTCGTGGAGGCCTGACCGGACTGACGCGCTAGTTTACTTACTTAGCCTAGTAGACTTGACTAAGGTGAACTGCGTACTTTCTATCGTCATGACTATCGGAGCTGCTACCCGACGCGCGCAGGGGTAGGGGTGGCGGTGGGACTGTCAGGTACCCTACTTACTCTACCTGAAGCGGGTTGTCCTTGTTGGATAACGCGTTCATGGGCTGAATAGGGGCTAGGAAGGGATGAATGTTTGAATGATAGATTGATTGGTTTCACTGGTTATTTTCGGATGTTTTATTTCAATTGTTGTTCTGTGGTATCTTTGACCCCTTGCGAGGTGTTCGCACGGCTCCCTCAATAATTGAAGCCAGAACACCTTTATGTGGTCCCGCGATGTCTATCGCGCTCATGATTCAAGATATCGTATGATCGTTATCTCATGCTATGAGACTCACCAACTCCGTGCTACCGCCAGCGTGGCTAGTGTTGGGTTAAAGCAGTGTAAATGGGACAGAAAAGCAGATAGCAAAAGTATGCAGAAAAAAAGGAAAGGAAAAAAGCCAGAAAGAAGCCCCAGCACCCTATAACAAAGAATTACCCTCGTGAGCTGTGATGTCGTGAAGTTTGTGAGGATGAGTCTCGAAGAACGTCAGGCGCTCGAGGCCCTACCATCCAGTCTTCCATGGCGAGCCATTCGCTCCAACTCCGCTCCGCCGCCTCAATCTCCGAATCTAGAGGTCCCTGTAAGGGACGTAGGAACGGAATTGTCTCGAGCGGTGGCATGTCATAGTCCTTTTTAACGGCCGCCCAGCCACCACTCTTCGCGGCGAACAGGTAATTGCGCCGTTCCTGCTCGTGTAGAGGTCCAATGCCCGCACCCCATTCGTCCCCAAAAAAACCGTGCAACACGCCAGGGAAATCCATTCCCGTGGCCACCAGGCGGCGGATGTATGGAATCAATGAGACAGAAGGAGGTAGGTTCGAGGCAGGTGAGGATGTAGAATACTGGCTAGCGGCGGATCGGGATGGGTCGGCATGAGAGTTTACGACAGGGTTTGACTGCCATTGGAACGGGAGACGGATGTTCAAGAAAGCAGAGAGTGCTTGGACTGCATCACTGTGTTGCGCATGATCTAGAAAGTATCGCTGGCAGCTTTGGTATCGAGGGTGCCATTGGAAGATGTCGAAATTGTCGCCTGCAGACGCTTGGGCCAATCCCACCATCGCAGCCGAGTTGAATTGCTGGGAGTCATGCATTGCGGACCCGGACGAAGGTTTACTCGAGTTTCGAGGATTCCTGCGCAAAAAAGAGACTTAGTCACTTGCTTCCACAACCGTTTTGTCTTTGCTCGTAGCCCGCTTTCACCATTGTCCAACGGAGCGATTAAAGCCGGGGACGAAGGTAACAGCGAAATGAACAACCCCGTAGTAAGAATATGGGGCATAAATCGCGAGAATTATAGAACCCAAGTGACTGAAAAGTCAATGAGACCGTACCTGCTGGAAAATATACTCCGACCACGACGGAGGAGAGAGACTCGGTGTCGCGGGGTAGGAGTCGGGGAGGGCGATGGGGAGGAGCGAAACAGAGTCCTGATCGCGAAACCTAGTCCTCTACCCGAGTGAGATTCATTCATGGACATCTGCTAAGCGTGATCCATTTATGAGGGGAAACAGGCGCAGCTCATGACAGAGCATGGGTCGAGGCCAAGGAGGGGAAGGAGAGAGCGGGTGGATGAGGTAGTTGGAGGGGACAAGGCTTTATAGAAAGAGAGTCCATTGAAGAGGTGAAACGGGGGGTATGCGACATACATAAATCCTCGGACCCAAAGAAAGGAAGAGGCAGTGAATTGAGAATGGAACGGCCGAAGGAGAAAAGAGTCAGATTGCGGAGCAGCGCTGGCAAGTGGACGTAAGTAGTCTTGTATATTGTTTGGGACCTGACGAGCGACTAGAACCAGAACGGGTGTACCCGATAGGGTCACGTAGGCAGTACCGGTCAACTTCTCGGTTTGGGTTGGGCTGGACTGGTTGATGAGAAAAAGAGGGTTGTGGTTTTCTCGAGAAT